ATTAAAAAAAAACGATTAAAAAAAAGTCGCCTTGACTAAGATTCGAACCTGCCTTACTACGGCTCCAACGTCATAGCAGCGTAAAGCTTTAACCACGCCCCCCACCGAGGACTTGAAAGATTCTATGTAAAATTCTTACTTAAAAGATAATGTTTAGTGAAAGTACTTTTTTATTTATAAACATTTATTTAATTCTGTTTTTAGTATTTGTTCTTGTAGCGGCAACATAGATACATTATCTGTAAAAATTTCAACTGTCTAGCTACAACGGTTCATAAGATAGACCTTTGTAACAGACGGACGGACAGCGAAGTCTTAGTAATAGGGTTCCCGTTTTTACCCTTTGGGTACGGAACCCTAAAAAACAAAATAGAAACACAATTATAAAAAACAAACATGAAATTCATATCCTGCTAAGTAGAGAATTTAGAATAAGTGGGAGGGGGGTTAATCTCTGCGACCTTAGAGATCTATTGTGTCCCCCTTTCTTGAGTTATAACTCATCATACAGTCCCAGGATTTCCTACGGAGACCCGTGTCCCTCACAGTCGAGGAGCTAAGACCCAGGCCGGGTAGACGAAACGGTAGCTTGTGTCGCCCGTTGGGTTTAGAGGTAGGAGGTAGGTTCCCGACCCTTGGAGGAGGTGGTAGCTTGTATGCCACTTGCGGAGGATGGTCTCACGCAAGTGTCAGCCACCTCTCCTGTAGTTCTCTTTGGGTTTGGCCCCTTGGAACTTTCATTGTTACTGTTCCCAGTGTCGCTAGAGGGTTTCTCCACAGCTTCACCGATGATGTTTTTATTACTATTATTATCAGATCTCATAGTGTTCCTATGAGTCGCTAGGGACAGTCGGTCCACTTCTACAGAGCCCCGCATGTAGAAGTAAGGGGTAAAATACAATGGGGCGCCCCCCGGTGCCCCAAGGTTGAGGCTGTCCGTAGCCCCGCCCGGTATCGCTATATGTCTTGGTGCAATTCCCTGGCCACGACACTACAGTCAGGGACAAGACGATGAGTGAGATGCTTCTTAGACCAAGCCAAGTGCTAGAGGGGATTCCCCCCAGCACCTGACCAGGAGCTTCCCCACCAACGACAAGGTCTTGCATCTCCTAGGGGACGATCCTGCTAAGTAATATCCCCTTAATATTAAATCTAAATCTTTCTACACTTAACTGAAAGAGAGACAAATCAATACAATACTCGTCAAATAAGTGAGCCATTCTGTAAAGGTGCATTTTGACCATATTGTCAAGGTGTATTACCTTGACACATAGTATAATTTTTTACCTATTAAATTTGAAGTCTGAAGATAGTCTGAAGTTTGAAAATACCGCGAAATACCGTTAGAGTAATAGTAGTTGCATAAGTTGTGCTGTAAATAGTATAAGTTGTGTGTACAGAGTGAAACAAATAAATTCGTTAAGTATTTTATCGTGAGTTTAAATAGTGGACCCACGGAATCCGTAACAATATTATGTAATTGGTAATTCTGAAAGGATTTGAAAATAGTTTATTAAATCTGAAAGAACTACTAGAAAATGTTACGTTTATTTTATTATAGATTTCAGGAGAGTAAATCAATCATTTAATTTAACCATACAAATCTTCAAAAATATAAAATATAGAAGAAAAACTTTAACCTATACCACCAAAAATAAAAATTATGTATAGAATGTTCAGGCATCGTTCAACGTCACATTGGTGACGTCATTACGGCATTTCGTAAATTACTGCAGATTCTTTTTAGTAATTGTCATTGTCGTTTTATTTGGGGTTATAATTTTATTGACGGACATCGATCAATGTCAAAATTAAAATTCGATTGTTGCTGTAAAACAAAATTCAAATTTATTTATTGCAAAAATGCCTCAAAGATTTGACCAAAATGAACAAGAGCTCATTGCAAAGAAGCTTATAAATTGTTTTTCTCGAGAAAGAGACGCTGCTAGAACACTCTTGCCCGTGGACGCCGTATATGAAGTAAGTACAATGCAAAAGTGTAATATTCCAATATAAAATAAAAACTTATAGCATTTTTAAATAATATAGCGAGTTGCTGATGCTTTAAAAAAAGGAATTTCAACAGTCCAAAGGATTGGGATTAAAAGGATCCCAACTGATGAAGAGTTCAAGAAAAAATGAATAAACACTGAAAAAAACTCGCCTCGATCAATAATATAGGAACGTACTTAAAGAATTCTAAACAATATGAACTGATCTCAGACACACCCTAAAACTCCTATTTGACAAACAATGATGACGTAACGGTGAACGATGACTGAACAGTCTTTATCTTCGTTTTGCTCAGTAATGTTTGTCTATTTACATTATTTGCCTGAACTTCAAGCATCAATTCTATATTTTTTAACGCTCTGAACCAGTGACAACACAAAACCATTCAAATTATATCCGAAGGGGACTCGAATATGATTTGAAACGGACGTTTTGATAAAGAAACATCCTGTATCAATATAGCAATTCATCCGACTTGCCTCGATTGTTAGTTTGGTAAAGCAGGGGGGATGTTACACAAGAGGGAAGCACAACAATAGAACGTAACAAATAGAATTTGTGTAATTAATTACCTAGTAAATGTATTTTTAGTTAAAATGCCGTCAGTTTGCTGTAAAAAGTCACTTAAGTCATATAAATGATTCTTAAAAAAATGTACAGGGTGTCCTATTTTAGTTGTAATTGATTTTCATTTTGGATTATTAACAGAGAGAAGAATCACGAACCTGAACTAATATTTTATGAAACCAAAAACGCAGCACAGAAAAAAAAATGGTAGAGCAATCTTAGTCTAGAGGGCGACATTAGGAATATTCCTACTTCGCGTGAAAACTAGTTTTTACAGAATTTTTTTAGTATTTCTATTTTTTTAAATAATGGACCGGTTTTTTTAATGGGACACCCTATATATTTGTCAAAAAAATTAATCTGCCTTTTTACAATGTTATTTTTAAGATATTTAAAAGTATGTAATATAACTAAAAGCATATTATCATCTGACGATATAATTACAGAAGAAGCAAAAAGAAAAAATGAATTACCAAATTAACAGCTTTAATTAGATCACTTCCAAGTGCCTGAGATTAATTACATTAAATGGTAATTAAGATTGAGTTTTTCCTAATTCAATAATCTCTCTTTCCAGATCCAGGGCTTCACTGAAATTATTACTCATCTTTCAGCTCTAGCAGTAAAAATTTAAAATAAATATTTAAACAAATTGAACTTTACAACCCATGTATATAGCGTCTCACAGGAAGCATTCAAATACAAATTCACGGAAAATTAGAACTAATCTGTATGTTTTATAGGTTTTTTGTATATAAATCTCTACAAAAAAATCTTGGAAAAGTATTTAAAATTATCGCAAAACAGATCATCGCACACCAAAAGAGCTTTTTTTTAATTTTAAGATTTAATTTTTTTCAGATTAATTTTTCAAAAACCTAGTCTAAGTTTTATGGTACATATTTGTATTGACAGTTGTCAAAATGCTGTTTTATTAAAGTTTTTTTAGTGGGGTCCAGAGACGTGCTATAAATTGGTTTTAATTTTATGGAAAGCACTGTTCATTAAAATGCTGTATCCTATGTTATAGGGCTTGTTTCTCTCTACAATTTTCTGTCTCACAATGTACCGTTTGTGTCCTGGAAGAGTTCATAGTTTCATAGTTGTCGATTTTCGAAAGAAATCAGTACATGCATATTATTTCGTATATTTTTCATTTTATTGATTTTATGGAAAGCACTGTTCATTAAAATGTTGTATCCTATGTTATAGGGCTTGTTTCTCTCTACAATTTTCTGTCTCACAATGTACCTTTTGTGTCCAGGAAGAGTTCATAGTTTCATAGTTGTCGATTTTCGAAAGAAATCAGTACATGCATATTATTTCGTAATTTTTCATTTTATTGATTTTATGGAAAGCACTGTTCATTTTTTGGCCAGTGTTTATAGTTTTTTTTTCTATATTTTTTTGATAAAGAATCATCTAGAATTTGGCAGTGCCTTTTTCGAACACTCTGTGTATTTTTCTATAGCTTGAAGTAAACTTATTGCCTGTCCTTACATTTTTGATTGTAAAAAATAAAAATAATGTGAGAAAGCATTTTAATAGTTCTTCAAAACTGATTAAATTAATATGTTTAAGCCACCCTGTATGAGAATTTTCTAGTTTTTTTTAATATCCAAACAAATATAAGGTTTATAGGAAATGAGGTTACACAAATTAAAATTCTAAAAATATAAATTTTACATTTTCTAACATTCTGTATGTTTTAACGTTTTTTTTCAACTTTACAGCCTATCAAAAAAACACATTTTTGTAATTCCAACAATTCATTAATGCTGAAAAAATAGAGAAAGATCTTTTTCTTGTATATTTCAAAGAAAAAATGAGCAAAAACGACAAAAATACTCCAAGTTCAAATTTAATTCAAATTAAAGACACCTTCATCGTTTAACTTTAACAAATAATTAATCAATAAATTATACCACACTAATTTTATGACCTATATTTAGTTCATACTATTATCAGATAATTAAAAATTAATATATTCATATAAAAAAAAAATATTATTCTGTATACTGAATGATTTTATTACACCAGTTTTTAGTACCTTTAAATATTAATATATGACTTTCTATTGAGAAGTTAATTTTACATTCATACTGGCATTTTTTTTTCTATAAATACCAGCATAAACAAAACAAAACTGTTACGAATCTAGACCAACATAAAAAATGCAAATGTATGATAATTACTCCGATGTCACTAATAGTAATGGCTCCATCATACATTAACATAAATTATTTTTCTATTTTTATTACGACTTTTCAAAAAAAAAATCATAACACACTGTATCTGCTAAAAAAACTAAAATGTTCTTGAATATTTATATTTAGACATATTAACCAGTCTTTTCTCTCTTCTTTGTGCTTTTTTTTATTAATATTTTCAAGAGATACATTAGATAAGTTTTGATTTACCTGATCCATCCGTATAACACCCTCAGCCAAAGTCTTGAACCCTAGCATTGTTCGGTTCTTGTATCTCTTCCTTCTTTGCAACAGGATGTGTAGCTTGTTGCCCTCTCTTTTCAGGAAATGGGGATATTGAAGACAAAAAGTAACGTCTAGCATGGTGTCTAACATTCCGTTCGGAGGCAGAACCAATTCGTTTGATCTCAGAGTCCTTTTGCTCGACTGCATCTTCACGGCTATGGAAATGGAGGAAATATCCGAACCCAGTTGTTTGAGGATTTGGAGACGCGTGAGGGTTAAAGAGCATAATCTAAAAGAATATATTTAAATTAGAATGATGAAATGAGTCATTCACCAATAATGTTACAAAAACTTATGAAATGCCTAGATGCGACAGTGAATTTTCATAATAAATCAAATATTTGCATAACTTAAGTCACATTTTTTGGGCAAATACGAAATTTAAAAACAAGGCTCGTCTAGCACAGCGAATTTAAGTTATTAAAAAGTAAAGCCTTTGATCACTGATTAAATACCCTAAAAATATCTTTACCTCGGGATACAATTGGATGGGGTTCTATCAACCCATGTAGCGTAAAGCCGCATCTTGTTCGGTGCAGAAGAACCCGCCCCTGTTATTGTTTTGTTGGGTTTGTCACTCATTTTTCACCGATCGCTGACTAATATCGTCAATGAAACGACGTGCAAGCGAAACGCACTGTGACCGAGATGCACTCGAAGCCGCCGGTCATGGGGATTCTCATATCGTTTAGACGCTTATTTGTTGTATGTACACAAAAGATAAGTGTGAACGAACATAAAACAAGACAATGAACCGCGATCAACCTTCTAATCAAGTACAAATGACACTGACAGACTGACAGCGGTTTTTGACAATCGACGGCAATCGCTGACGTTTATTGAGCGTTGCCAGATCTTTACTTAAATCAGGAGAAAAGAGTTTAAAAATTGATTTTTAAATAAATATTATAAAAAAGTAGTAGTATATTCTGTTTCCTCATCTTGACAAAAATATGTTTAATATGTACTCTCCGTTATATCCTATATATTATATTATGTACTAAAGTAGTTAAACGAAAAAGACCGTCAAAAAACTTATAATCACTATTACTTTTTGAACTCCCCCTATAGACCTAACTGCGAACATGGCGGCCACCATGATTAGGATTTATTAAATACCTCTATATCTCTGGTTACGACACAGTTGCCGACTTTGGAAGCACAATTTTGCCAACCGTTAAACAGATTCGTAAAAACAATGCCACTAACTTTATAGTTTATAGGCACACACAGGTTTGCCAATATTCAAATCAGTGCTGTGAAATCATTCTGACAAACACAATATTTTGGCGCAGGCGCTTTTTTCTCCCAATCAACGATTTTTAGTGGGAGGAGTGCACTCCCCTCCCCTTTCCGTACTGCATTTCTTGACAGGTGAGCTGCTGCTGTCAAAAGTATTTTTTATGTTGAAAAATATCTTTATTTGTGTTTGTTTTTGGCATTAAATAAGCAAATCCCAGGAAAACAACCCCCAGAAATTAACCAGTACAAAATCTAAATCAGGTAGGAGTTAAATTACAGTATTCGTGTACGGATTTTAATACAAATTACTGGCAAAATCCCGCAACGAATTGCAGTAGTTTTCTTAAACATCTGCCTGTTTCTGTGTGTTGTTAAGATCTCATTCGTTATTTTAATGACTCATTGCATTATAGTAATTCTTGTTAATACTTAATCGTAAGCGTTTATTTTAAAGTGATATTCTCACGATTTTTAAAAGGGTTTGGCTGGACAGTGCGTCTGGTATCTTGGCACAAAGTTATTGATTTTTCGTAGTCTCATCTCTTTCCATTTGATATATGTGTGTGCATACTATACTACCGGCTTAATGTAGACTTTGTTGCCGGTTATTGAGACTCTTATACCAACTGATTTTACGAATTTTTCTTAGGAAAATGCCGGCGCCTGCACCAGCTGAAAATGGGGCTCCCAGAACGGAATTACAGGAGTTACAGCTCAAATCCCAACAAGTTACTGATGAGGTAAGGATAGATTTAGCTAATTCAGATATTCAGAAGAATGAGGACATTCAATGTTCATTTGATATCAAGAATAAGTACTATTTATAATGTATACTTTACTTTTTAGTCACTGGAGAGCACAAGACGGATGTTGGCGTTATGCGAAGAGGTAAATATTTAATTTTTAGTGCATTCTTTTCTTTTAAAGTGTTCTGTTTATAACATAAATGTTTATAATCTGATATATTCTTAATATAGGAGCCAACGACTTGAGTAAAAAGGATAAAATAAGGATTTTTTAATAATATTTCTCTTGATTTTTATCTCCCATACTGAGCATACTTTTCTTTTTTCTTTATTTTGCTCTCTTTTATTTCATTCAATCTTTGTACAAATGTGGTCTTTTCGAATTAACTTGAAATGTATTGGACAGCTAAAACTAAAGGGTACGGTCTGAATTGGTTGTACAAAGGTTACATATATCTCTTAAATGTTTTTTTTTCTGTGCTGCATGCTTGCACTGGTCTATCTTGTCCTGTCTATAATAAAAATCTTCAACTTGTGCAGGCAGGACTACCCTATCTACCCTCTATGTTAACATAAATCAAACATAGGTTTCAATAAAATATTTATGTTTGTTATCCAAACTTAATTCCTATTATACAGGGTGTTTCTGATTACCTGTCTGATATTTTACAGCGTGAATTTTCAAGTATTTTTAACCATTCCAGATATTTTTATGAAAGTTTGTATGTGTCTTTTCATCATTAAGGGGCATTTTTTGATGAGAAATGTTTTTTTAGAGCACATGTTTATATGAACTTTTTACCTTAAAAATACTTCACAAAAATCTACTATCACTATGAAATATCAGACACTTATTTCGAAATCCCCTGTATATAATTTGCAAATGTATTAGTCTCTATTAAGTCTTATAGTCTTTTTCAGTGATGAAATTCTATTTATATTAATTTCATAGTTACATATTTTTTTAACTAAATGAAACTTATGTTTGATACTAATTTCATAGAAGTCTAGAATCTATTGAGGGATAATAATTATGCTTTAAATGTTGTATCTTCTCTAACAAGTAGCAGAAAAGTTATTTTTTGTATTAAGTAACCCGTAACCTTTTAACTTTTCTGTTATTTTCCGAATTATTCAGAGGTCGTCGACGTAATATTTTTGATTTTATTTTATCCGTAATTTTTTTGAAAGTATTTTTTTTTATTTTAAATTTTAGTTTTATCTTGCATAATGCGTGTTAGTTTTTTTCTTTTTTATTTTGTTATCTGTATATTATTTTATTGACATCAAAAGTGATAGAAAACAATTTTTTTTTGCTAGTATTCATTAACTAACGTATAATCGAAAAAAAAAAACGGCGTCACTGACGACTGGGGAATGACAACCGATGATAATTTTGGCGAGGTCAGTCTCTAGATATGATTTACTTGCGTACATGAAACTACAACCTTCTTAAATTAAATTTCTGTTACTTTTGGATATTCTTAGCGTTCTAATTTTTATGCATCAAAAACGTTTCATACAAATGCTTTTATTTGAACAAAATAATAATATAAATTTTCTTTAAAAAATTAAAAAGTTTTTGCCCACTGACGTGACGTCATACCTAGGGAATCTATTAAAGCAGGAAATAGCGTTTTGAATACGACTACAGGCCACAATTTTAGATATCAACTCATCTTCTATCCACTTTTCATTACTCTAAAGCCCCGCCTACACATAATTTTTACCTGTCAGTCTTATCTGTTCGGTCAAAATGTCAAGTAAGACACTGTGTGTAGACTAAAAATCGGTCCGTTGTACTTGAACTAAGACGGAGGACCGTCTAAAGAATTGACGGGATCATTGATTATCTCTAAAAGGTATGGAAATTTGGAAAAGTATAAACGGGATTAACCATTTTAAATCAAGCAAAAATTTGTGTGAAGAATGCATTTTTCTCAAAATCTCAATAATAAAAACGTTTTTCCTCTTATAAAGCCAATCTGGGGACATACTGTGCATGACAAAAAAACGTTATGTGTAGATGGGACTTAATTTCTATGGGCATTGCAGCTGCAATGTTGCCAGACTGATCAAAAATTCTTCTTTTTAAGGCTTTTAAACGTGTTGATGCATAAAAATAGACAGTTTTTTTTTATATTGATGTGTGTCGATCGAGGACCTCTTAATAAACAAATACAGGGTTTTGGCTTTTGTTTTCCGGGGAGTTTTGCGCGTAAAAGAAGCGTTCTGCGCGTGGGGGCTTTTAGCGTCGATTGCGCAGAAAAACTAACGACGCGACGTTCGGTTGGTTTTGGTCGTCTATGTTGTGGTAGCGGTAGCCCTGCAAGTGTGGCTGTGATTGTGCTGTGTTCCGTGTGCAATAAAATATATATATCTCTATATTATAAATATATAATATTATACTTAAACACACATGCACTACCGCACACACACACTGGCAGACAGATGTAAATATCCATGACAGATATAAATATCCAAGCCACTACCATAACATAACAAATGAAGTAGACTATAAAATAATTGGACAGATCTATAATATTATAAAAAGTGCCAGAAGCAAAAAAAATTTCATAGATTTGATTCAGCATGTTCAATAACATAAAATAATTAAAAAAATAATTTTTAATTATAAAATAAAAAAATAATAATAATAAATAATAATTTTTATTTAAAATAAAGCTATTGCTCTTTAAGTATATAATAAATTGGTATTGTATGACATCCAAATAAATACAACAAAAACCCCCCCCAACTAATAATGCAAAATTAAAAATAATAAAAACAAAAAATTATAATTAAGAAATATATACAGTAGAGATTTTTTTTAAATTTACTGCCATGACAGATATAACATATGTCTCGGGATTTTTTTTTTGTTATTGGACTTGCTAAGTTGATTCTGTGTAAAGTAACATTTCTCACTTGTTTCAAACTTCCAATCATTTTTTTAAATTATTACTTGAATATGTCTATCTCTAAATATGTTAAATATGCATTAAAATATAATGAAAAAAAAAATTAAAATTAAAAAATTATTAAGATTTTAACCAGATAATTTTTTGAAACGTAAATGAATGCAAAGTAATAAAATAAACGATAAGTCCTTTTATTTAGTAGTCTGTGATAACAATAGTCATCATTTTCTCTTTTTTTAAGACTTGTGATGACTTACAATTCAGTCCAAAATATACTTGGGTAAACTTTTTTTATTCATTTCTTATTCCAAATTAACTTACTGATCACTAACCTGTCAAATATACCCGAATTCAAGTAAACTTTGGACACTGAAGGGCACAGTTATGGTAGTTTTTCCAGATGACATATTTTTTTAAATATAGGTAATAAAATTTTGATTTAATGATCCCTGTTTTATAAGTATTTTAGAAAGTTTATATTCCATACAGACTCCAATTAACTGATTTATTAACATAAGATCATTTTAATGTCATGAAATTATAATATCGTTCCATTGTTGCCAAAAGTCACTAACTAACATTTTTCCGAACCACCAAATTCAATCACTAACTATGTTTTGAAGCGGAGAATCGATTGCAAAAGTCATTAACTACGATTTCTGGCTATTTATGTTTTATTTTAATACCGAATAGTTATTAACTATAACATCTTTATGCAATGCAATTCATCTTTAGACGCATTTTTCTCGGAAGTAATAAAAAGTAAGTTAGTGACTTGGCAGCAATGGGACGATATGTTTATTATATTTTACATTCTTTTCAAAAAGTTTGTGAAAACGATGTTTTGATTGACTTCTGACTTCTAAAAGCTCCTATACAGTAATTGTGCCCTTTATACACTTCTATTTTCTATTCTGAGCTAAGTAAACATATTTTTATAAAAACTTCATACAGAAAATATGTATTCCTTAGCTTGGTTTATTTTATAAACATTTATTTCATATCTAATTCTTTAAAATACAACTTGTTAAAAGTATTTACAAACATCAATATATTGTTTTATAAACATTTTCTTCAAACCATGTCATTTTATATTTATATTAAATACTTTTAACATATTTTCACAAGACAACAAAAGATATCCTATTTGCAATTAAATCATTATTCTCTATTTACTACCCCCTGATTCTACTGTTGTACTGAATAATAACTACACTGAAAAATATATATTAGCCTCAAAAATTGTGCAAATTCTTAAGTTGAAATTTTTTTTTATTTACGAAGTTTTTATTTACTTAAATATTTACAGGAAATACTATTAAATTTTAATTTAAGTAAAATAATATATTAGTATGATTCTTTTAAATTATCCTAATAAATTTTATTTGGTTTTAAAGTAATATTTAAATCTATAATTTTCAAGGTTTTACCGAAATGCAAAAAATAGAGAAAAAATATACTTTTTTCAGTGTGGTAGTACAAGTTCACTCAATGCAATCATATTGTTAGAAATCCATACATTAATATCCCTATTCTAACTAAATATTGGGATATTCTGCCTTGGTTTCGAAATATCAAATAATAAAACTCATTTTATAAAAAGAACTCCTCAAACCAAAGAAAAAAACATCTAGTAAATATTGCTTAAACACATTTTCAAAGCAAAAGTCCAAAATAATAAGGTTGTTTAATAATATTTTACATTCTTTTTCGACATTACTCAAAAGACATTTGGTCTTAACGAACATAAACAAATATAAATTTGATATTTCGAAATAAAAAACAATACTAGGTCTGGTTAATGATGACTCCACCGTCTGTGCAACCAACAGTCCACATAATCCTAGAATTTTTTCTTCTATTTGCCGAGTAAATTCAACCTTAAACGTTGTAAACGTAAGGTCTAGAATCAACACTTGTTCGATTTAAGAATTTTGTTTTAAAAACGATTTGTATTACAATACATACCACACGCATATAAAACAATAAACAAAACTTTATATCACTATTATTTAAAAATATATATCTTGCAGCGTGATTTAAACTACACAATAAAGCTTAAAATGCTAGGATAAAAGGGTTTTATGCTGGTTGCGTAACAGGTGTTGTTGTCATACCACTAGGACCGATCCAACTGATATAATAATCTACCCCTGTGCCTTGACACTCAGCGGGCTTATCACTACTAAAAACTTCTCTCTCATCCATTTAAGACTAACATTGACATTTTAACACCTATTTTTGTGCTGCTGTGTAGAGTAAGGAGGCTGGAATCCGAACCTTGGTCGCTTTAGATGACCAAGGAGGTGAGTCTCTTCCAATCACTACTAACTACTACCTACTACTACTGTTTTGAAACCCATATAAACTATATAACCTACTCTTTAAGAGTAATCAGAAGATAGAAATTCCATTAATGTAACTAATACGATTGTAAATTAAAGACTGTTATCTTACTAATATTTATAAATAACAGTTTTAACAGTACAAATAATACAAGTAAATAACAGTACAAAGCTATTATTTAGATATAACAGTGTTATTTTTCGATAACAATAACAGTTTCAACTGTTATTTGCAAGAGCATACAGCATTGCAAATTCGTCGATTATTCGAGTACTGTTATTTTCATGTCGGTTATTTTGTAGAAGCAACAACAGTTGCGAGCCTAGTAAATCCTCTGGACCCGGCGATTTCTACATCACTTCGCGAGCCATCGTCTCAGCACACTGTTATGTTATTGATCTGAACTGTTCTACCTTAATAACAGTTCTAAAATGCCAGATCTTAGTACTTATAGACACTAAGCGTGAAAATTTCAATATAAGAAATATAGATAGTTTTTAAAAACTTTTTTTAACAACACATTTTTGATAAGATAACAGACTAATAATTCATTTAAAAGTAACTAATAAAAATATATTAATTTAAATATATTTTAGATTACAGTAAAACTTAGTTAAATCGATAAAAAAGGTATTAAAAAACGATACTAAAAATGCAACTAATGATTACAGCCTTCTTTAATGGTATTTCTGTCTTTATTACTCATTTTTGTCATCAATTAATATTTTTTATTCTGTCTCTTCATATATTTTTCGATATATACATAGAAATAAAGAAAAATAGATTAATTGGTTCTAAAAAGAATTAAATCATTTGGATATCATTCTATCGTTTTAATTCTGTGAATATATTACACACCCTTAATTTTTATATCTACCCCTTTTTTTATAACTTCTATATGTGATAACACTATACACTTTTGGCAGATTGAATCATTTGGAACACTATAATTATATTGGGCAGTATTTATTTTCAAGAAATACTATAAAAGTGTGCAGCTGTTGTGAAAAAGCTGCGTATCATCTTTTTTGCTTTAAAAAATTAAATTTTCTGTATAATTTTTTTCGGAGACAAATACAACAAATCAGAAATCATTAAAACGAAAATGATTCAACTGTCAATATTCCATGCATCATTGATATCGTTACATGTTGAATGATTATTTCATAGAACTTATTACCTCTTATTACTTGTTACATGATTACACACAGTTACAGCTGAATATATACATAGAATATATTTATTTAACAAAATACACTCGTTCTGACACAGCTTGCCTACTTTGCATGACCTATTTCGTCAGCTTTTTGCTTAGAATGTTTCTATATCTTGTTATTGCTATTTTACTATATTCTGCTTTTGAACTTATTGATTACTTCACTAAGTCCTTTTTAGGAGTTTTGAGATTGGAGGAATATTACCTTTGAAGAATACTGCTTCGTTGTGGACAGCAAGTTAATCTTTGGATAAAAAGCAACTTTAAAAATGGCAAATATTCTTCAAATCTGCAAATTCCTACTACGAGTTTTTTATGTACTTCCCCTTTTTGAAAAGCACCAAGCTAATGAGGATTATGCTAACCCATTGTACAGATTTATCTCTATTATATATTTCACTCACTTGTAGTGTACCTTGTGTCGTGTTTTTTTTTATATTGTTGTGTCTCCTGTTGCGAATGCTATTGGCACATTGCTGTTATAGAGTACGGATGCAGGAACCAAGACGTTGGAGATGCTACACGTGCAAGGGGGTAAGATTTATCCGAGTTTTCCCTGATGCGAGCCTCGTACGATCATAGCAAAGCAGTATTTCTATGTCATTTCGATCACCTGATTATGACACAACATTAAATTGTGTGCTAAACGTATATGGATTACAAAATGCCGTTTAACGTTAGGAGAAGTATAGAATAATGTTCAGCCATCGTTCAAAGTCACGTCATATATTGTCGAACTCTCTCAATCACTTGCCAACCAGATGAAAGAGATTGATGGCGTCATTACGGCATTTCGTAAATTACTGCATATTATTTTTAGTAATTGTCATTGTCATTTGATTTGGGGTTATAATTTTATTGACGGACATCGATCAATGTCAAAATTAAAATTTGATTGTTGCTGTAAAACGAATTTAATTTTTTTTTATTGCAAAGTAGCCTCAAAGCTTTAACCAACATGAACAAGAGCTATTGCTAAGCTTATAAATTTAACTCATATTTGACAAATAATGGTGACGTAATGGTGAACGATGACTAAACAGTCTACTTATTATTATTGTTATTATTTTACGTCATTTTGATGATCTTATTATGACCTAATATTGTGAGGTGTTTTTGAAGTTTTCTTTTGCGTTTGCAGTTATCGTATGATTAAAATGTATCAGGAAAAACAGACCTTTACCGTGCTGCTCGAGTTGTTTGTTTATTATTTTATTTTAATATTTGGATGGTGTTTTTGGTGTGGGGTTATTTTTGATATATTTAATGGATTTACTTATAATCTCTATTTGTTGTTGTGGTCTTAGTTTTATTGCATATTTACCTTGTTGGGTGTTCCCTGAATAATAATAATTTAAATTTAAAATTATAACTCTTTATTAAGTAATTCATTTTTTGTTTTAGTTTTTTTTTCACTCTGTTTTTAATTTTAGATTATAAACTTGTTGACATGTTCAGAAAGTCAGTCAATGATATTCTTTAACATAACATAATAACTATAAGCCTCGAAACAACACAGATCCAAGAAAAATCTAAACCAGAAAAGACTACAACAAAATAACAGTTCTTTTTGACGCTAGATTGACTAGGTTGGCGCAACTGGCATTCCCATTCAGTTCGGCCCACTCATGGATACCAATCTTAGATAATCTAAATCACTATCCGCCGTAGTTTCGCCAGTGTACTTCCTTTGTTTTATAAAGTTGGTACGGCTAGATGCGGCTGTTTTTTTTCAAGTTTTTTTTGGAGATTTGAAAATTTGAGAGAGTGACAAATATAAAAAAAGATAGAGATGCTAATAGAGCATCAATTGGCGAATTGTACAAGGTGTTGGGATCTACCTAGCTGACATTCTTCATATTTATAGAGCCACGAGGTGGGGATGAAAACCCTGGTCATGCTGGATGAACAGGGGGGTAAGCAAACTCATTCTATCGTACTAATCAAAAACAGAGGCGTAGGGGAGGATTTACAAACGATGTTCCGGATACTTTGCCCTGTTTAAATGCTTTTTTGTGTTATTTTCATCTAAAAAACATTATCAACACTGTATATTGAATTTTTAATATTTTGTTGCAATTTAATTTGGGCTTAACTGTATTGACAAGATTTCATAATGACGTTCTCTCGTTCAACATAAGCGATTTTATATTTCTCTTGTACTGTTTGACTAAATATACAGGGTGAGTCTTAGATACGTGCACAAATTTTTAGGGGTTGTATATTTCGATCCCCGAACCACATCTATGAGTATTTTTCGCGAAAAAAATTGTAAATTTTGTATTTTTCATTTTTTTTTAATTTTCATGTAAAAAATATATCTTGATAATATAGCAATATTGAGACTAAGAAAAACAAACAGAAACAAATCTGGTGGTTCTGAAAATTGAAACTTTTTTTTAATTTTCGAAGTATAACTGCTATTTCGGACTTGAAAATAGGTACACTTATTTAAGACTCACCCTGTATAACGTACTTTTAAATTTAGAACTATGTTTGCAAATCCTCCCCCACGTATACCCATTTTACCAAAAAAAAATAACACAAATTCGATATATTCATTAATCACTTCAAATAAAAAAGAGAAAACGACAATCACACATTCAAAAATTATGTAACTACACAAATTATTCAATCCATCGACATTAAATAAAATAGAATAATAGAGAATACGATATATAATATGTATTTTCATATTAAGGGTATTTAGATAGAGTGGTGGAAAGTCCAGTAAGTTGGATGTCCTTAGTGTCTGACTGTTGTAAATATGCAATAACATAGACGAATATTTGATATTTTGGTGTTTATCGATGTGCTCAGTCCTTCTAAAAGATAATGGAGAATAACAGTTTTAAGATAGAGTACATTACATATTTTAACTGTATTTTTTTTTAATAAAAGTGTTAAATATTATTTTTATTAAATTATACGTATATATTATATTATTTTTTAATAAATAAAATACCGTTCGTTAAGGCATTTATAAATAGAGATACAAAGATACGGTTTTCATATTGCTGTTCTATTTTTTATGAAACCTAAAGGTGTCACACAGATTAGTCCTAGCCTTCTTAGTTACTGCAATACAGGGCGATTTTGAAATTGTTGCCGTTGTATCTCGGTTATCTTATAACTTATAGAAAAGGTGAAAACTCTGTTTCACGTAGTTTCGTCTTCGAAATATGACTCAAATTTATGTTTTTTTAAAAGGACATCCTATATATTTTTTATTATTATATTTGCCTTGTTATGAGCTTTCTAAAAATATAATATACTCTATTGTACTTATTTTCATAAATAAGGTAAAATATGTATTGTTTATAAATGTTTAACATAAATCAACCTAGTTTAAAAGAGTAATATTATTTTATTTTATTTTATTTAATCAGATAATTTTGCTTTTTGTCGTGTTATTTTAATAAACTGCACTGAAAATGAATTTGTGCTCCTTTTAGATAACGCGCTGTCAATCAGAGTTATTGAGAGTTATTGATATGTTTGATACACTTGTGCAATAGTTTCACACAGAGAAACTAGCGTGGAATAGCCAATAACCAAAATTTGACGTGGAATAAGTTATTCCGTTGGTTTGATTACCTAATTTAACCCGCCGGCTATGTTAATTTTACGATATCATGTTATTTACCTTCCAGTTTAATGTTTGTTTAAATTTGTAATGTACTCTTTGACAAAATATTTTTTTTTATCTGAAACATTGTTTTTGCTTCTCCATTATCATTTGCTCAGCTCATACTTACTATCTCTATCTTGACAGTACTAAATACTCAGCTCTTTTAGAACTAACTATATTTGACAGTTCAGATTATCGATCAGATCAGTCAAGACACTTCTTATAACTTACTATATCGTCAGATACATTTCAGAACAACAAAATTTAATCTCACTAGTATAGAAAATTTTGTATGTTTAGTATAAGACCCAAATCAATCTGATATTTCTAATACACTGATACATAATATTCTCTTTAAAAAACTTTAAATATTTATACATAAAATAAAATACCTCAATATAAGTGAGAATTTTTCTGGCACTTCTTTCAGTCTCATCCTGTGTAATACAACTAATATGTTCTAATATAAATTCCCTAATTACATTGAATTTTAAATGTTTTTAATAAACGTGTGATAAGGGATTGTTAATAAAGTAATATTTGACTTACTATTAAAATAAAAACCTATACCAAATAAAATTAATAAACCAGCTAAAATTGTAATTGAATTCAGTTCATCTGTTCCACAGTATTATTAGATTAATTATTTTAGTGAATTTATATGACATATTATTAAATTAGATAAAAAATAATAGATTTTAGACAATATAATTCAATTTTTGAGATAAAAAAATCTATTTCACTCTATATCACGTCTCACGTCACATCATTTCTATCTCAAGTTATTAAGTTGTTAATAGAAAAAATGTTAAAAGATTCTATTGTAATCACCTAGTAATCAAACATTGCGTGTAAAGATTGTTTTTTCGTTTATTTTTGAATCAAAATATTTATACTTAACAACTTATTTCTTGTGGATCTTATATACATGTCACGCTATACATACAATCTATCGCCCTAATAATATATCAAATAAATATGTACTTTTTAAGACCTACAAAACATACAAAAAGGCCTTGATACCGAAGTAAGTTAACACAAACCACATATTTTCCCCTATTTTGACATCCACATTCTTCAACATGATACCTATATATATCCAAAAAATATCTACAACAAGCATGTCCTCTTTTATTTTTATATAATAACTCTAAAAACCTTTTGCTTATCGAAAGATTGACGCTTCTATTGACATATTTGCTCTATAACCTCATTTTTAATGACAGATGTCAAGATAAGGCAATATCGAAATAGAGCCGTCAACGTAGACATTTAGAGCATGCGCATGCGTCGTAGGTAAGGTTAAATTACCAGACACGGTTGATCACGCCACATAACTAACTGAATTTTAGAGCGTAATAATTGTAAAAATTGATGACGGTCGAGATGGAGTGTCGTAAAACGTTTTTTCTTGATGTGTAGAACAATTGGACCGGATCGAGGATGGCATGGACCAGATCAACACCGACATGAGAGAGGCGGAGAAGAATTTGACAGGGATGGAGAAGTGTTGCGGGTTGTGTGTGTTGCCTTGTCAGAAGTAAGTTAGTGTGGATAGATTAGAATTGATATAGAATAGAATATAGGTTCAGTTTGTTTGGATTATATATTAGCATTTTTTAGACTTTGAATGTGTATAGTACCCTTGTTTATATATTCTTTAAGTTGCTCAACCGGCTAAACAAAATGTGCTGCCAGCTGGAGGACAAATCGTGAACCTTTCGGGGCGGAGTCAAAAATATCGATTATTTTCGTTATTTTCCTCAGAGTAATGTAATAATATAGCCCGGGTTTCTGCATCTTTAATAGTGATCAGCTGATTAAGAAATTTAAACGAAATTTTTATTTTATTGTAGATTGTGGATTATTTTTGCCTGTTATTTTAAAAATTCTAAACTGTTTTAACAAAGAAATTATTATTTCGATATGTTGGTACATTTTTAATAATTTATGATAATGCTAATTACTGTTAATTAATATTTAGAGAAAGTTACATATCTACTTTAATTTGACTTAATGCAGGTTTATAAAAGAATCGTTTCATTCTTAGATTATTTTATTCTAAATTGAGTGTTTTACGAATTTGACGATATTTTTTTTTGAAAACATAAAACTTTTTACATTCTTCATTAAATGTTCAAAAAATTTCAACTTGTTTAAACAAAAAATTGTAAATATGAATTTTTTAAATGAAGAAAAGCGTGTAGGATTATTGGTTCAACTTTTGTTGGCCATACATTTTCCAGGATACGTTGACCGTTATTTACGTACGAGTACGGTTTTCAAGACATGTTAGAAAAGTTAAATTTAGATAGTCGTATTTATATCACAATTATGCAAACTCAGGGATCGGAAGAGGTGGACCAATTTCATGGGCCCCCTCGAAGAGGCGGTACGGGAGAACATTTTCTAAAATAACTTAAGTGTATTGGGTAGTGATATTATGAAGTTTTAGTTTGCGTAATGTAAATCGTAAAGAACCGTTTAATAATATATTCTATGTTTTTATGTTATAAATCATAACAGAGTAAAAATACCATGCTAACTAAGTGAAATTAGCCAAGAAAGAAAAGAATTGACTATAACTATAACTCTGTATCTAACTGTAATTTTTCGAAGAAAATATATAGTATACTTATATCGCCGAAAAGTTTAAAAATTGCGATTTTTATGAAGTCATGGCCAACTATGGTCAAAAATTACAGGCTTTGGAAAAAATCAGAAAACACAAACTCATTAGGTATGTGATTATCTACAACTTTTTGTCTAAAATAGTTTATAATGGAATTAGGGACAAGTTTTAAAATAGCCAAAATTTGTTTTTTCTTTTGAAGGAAGATATAGTGTATCTATCACAATACTTAATAGAACTACTACAAGTATTACAAGAAAAACAAAAAGAAGAAATACCCAAATACCCCTTCACCTACTACTCAACTACAAAATAAACGAATATAATCTCTTAAAAACACTACACAACTACTTATTCTTGTATTCTACACTGAACAAATTATCAAACTTACTAATTTATCAAACAAAAAGAAAAAATAACAAAATTATCCCTTCACCTACTACTTAATCAAATTAACTACAAAATAAACTATAAAAACACTACTAAACTATTTTTGGTAGACTACACTAACATGCTACACTAAACACTATAATTAAAGTTAATAAATGAATCTAATTTTACACTACAACTACAAAGAAAAAAGAAATAAGAACATTTTCTAAAACTAGAAGAAACAGAACTTACGCGCAACCAGGATTATAGGTCAAGGGGACAAAGAATATAAAATACTTTAAAATGTGCATTCAGAAAGAAAAAATACCTCGAAAATTATCTAAACAAACATTTTTATTTCTTATCAGTGAGAAGCATCGGCCTTGTCGGCCTTGAAGAATTTGTCGGCTGTTTACAATGGTCGAATTGTATAATTGCCAGCTTTTATAGCATATCTGATAGAAAAAATGTATCTGGTCGATTAGTAACCAATTGGCACAGTCCGAAAATTATCGATTTTTATTTTCTCTGCTTTTATTGGTAACTTCAAAATTCAGAGTAACAAAAAATATTTTTCTGTAGGGAAACCGGTCCTGCCATCTAGTAGTCTTAGTCCATAAACGTCTTAGGTTGATCTACTTTAAAAATATATATACAAGGATAGTACGTAAGTAATACTTACAGGACGTTCTAATCTTGTAGAGGTTCGTCGTTTAAAGAAGATGAAGGTACATGGAAAGGCAACGATGACGGTAAAGTGGTAAATAACCAGCCCCAACGCATGATGGACGACAGAAATGGCATGGGACCACAAGGCGGATACATTGGAAGGATCACCAACGACGCTAGAGAAGATGAAATGGAAGAAAACGTTGGACAGGTGCCTTTACCATTTACTAAGATTTTACTTAACTTAGTTTTTAATCAAGTGAAGATAGAATAACTTTAATGTTAAGCTTGTCAAATAAAAATATACGCTCAGCGAGTTACTGAAGACTGATGGGTCTGTTTTCTGTCATTTTTTAGGTTAATACAATGATAGGTAACTTACGTAACATGGCCATCGACATGGGTTCCGAACTAGAGAACCAGAATCGACAGTTGGAGCGCATCAACGCAAAGGTAAAATCGGTTAACCTCAAACCTGTCTATCACACTGTCATTTTGATTCGTCCTTTTGCTTCGGTATATTGGTAACACTGACGTGTCACTAACACTCCTAACATAATCTAACTAAACCGTCTGGATAGTGTTGTTTTTGAAAAAGTTTAAATTGTTTTACAGTTTGTAGTACAAACAGGGTGTCACTTTAAGTAAGTGCAAGTATTTTAATTGGTGGTAGATCTGTGCAAAAGAAAATCATAAATTGAAAATCACCGAGTTATTTGACATTGACATGACATACACTTAAATTTATTGAAAATACTTAGTAATGTGGCGCAGTTATTTTTTTAGATTTATTGTTTCAGTTTAATTGAAACTAACTCTAAAAAATCTATTAGTGGGTGTTAAAAATATTAGTAATGCCACTGGCATAATGAAAATTAATTTTCATAATTTGCAGAGAATTAAAATTATTGTGAACTTATAAACACACAAATATGCGAAATATGGGTAATATAGAAGATGGCAACATTGCAGGCTTCGATTCATCGTCAAAAAAAAAATTATATCCCTAAAAATGACAGGAAAAATTTTAATTTTCAAATTTTCTTGCAAAAATCACATAGCTGTATTTTTGGTCTAAAAATATACCACCAGTTCAAATACTTGCTTCTGTTTAAGAGACACTCCGTATAGTAATAAATAATAACCGTATTCTCTTCAGATTTCTAAAATAGAGAAAATATTCAGTGAAATAAGTAAACCTAGATAAGTTGATCTGACAAGGACAAACAAAACTTAGACTTTTTCAAATTTAAAAAAAAATATTTGTCGTATAATAACACAGAGTCTTAACGTGTATCAGATATATGCTTAAACAAAAATCACAGGATACAACAGAACAAACAAGAACCACAAAAATATACATAATTTAACTTTTTTCTAGCATATTGAGTCTTTAAAATATTCGCACCACCGCTTTTGGCTGTGATGATTCACGTGTGAACACTTTTGTTCAACTTGTTCACACTCACGTTAAAAACAGTTTTTTTCTGCTTGATTTTTTTTTTGATTCTTTGATACTGCTCATCAGCATGTAGTTATTTTATTGTTTTACTCTTTTTTTGGTTGGCTTTATTGTTACTATAGTACATTTTCAGAGTAGCAAAAATGTATAGAAATCTTTAATTATGTTGTAGTTCCGGCTTTTTAAGATTTCTGGTTTAATCTAAAGCAACTTAAACTACAACATTTTTTTATTTAAAATATTACTTTTGAGTCAATAGTAATAACCTAAAACTGACACTTGCTACCCTGAAAATTTATATCTTCTAAATTCGTAAACAAATGAGGTATTGAAACAAAGATATTGAAACTCTCGGTATAGAAAGAGGTAAGTTGAGAATTTTATTATTAGGTTATAAATTCGAATTGTAAATTGTAAAGATATGTATCTAAACAGCCAGCAAGATTCATTGTATGGTTTAAAAAATATTTAAAGATTCTCGCCGAATTTCGATAGAGAAAAAAAGTGTTTTCGTTATTTTCAGATAGAATGTTAGTTGGAAAATTTTGATTTTAATTCTGCATCTCAATAACGATTGATGTTTCTTTAAAGTAATAATATAAAGAGTGTTTTTTTTAATAAATTATCGCACTAGTTTTTATGCGACGCCACTGAGACTGTAATTTTTGTTTAAGCACCTGCTCTATCTTTCTCCTTACTAACTAAAAACTTAGATTTTATAAACTTCGTGGATAAAACTATGTCATATGTATATTACACACGATTTTGTTTACGGCACTCTCACATGCATTTTTCTATTTACAAACCTATCCTTCTCTCTGAATACGCTACTGAGCATGCGCAGGACGATATTAGACGTGAATGCTCACCTGGAGCGTTTTTTTGCTGCGTTGACAACAATTACTAGATAAAAATATAGACCACTAAAAAATTTTAATCAAAATATAACTGATACGTGTATTTATTATTTTGAAAATATTTGTCGTATTATATCAATATAACTTTTTATATAAATTTTAAACAAAAATTTAATCATATAACGTTAAATTCTTTCGTAAAAATGTTTTAAAATACTACTTCGAAAAATAGCTATGATGAATGGACTATGACACATAAAACCAGCAACCAGGGAACATTAAATATGTTTTGATATTGAAAAGTCAAAACAATAAACAAATTTAATTAATACCACTTTTTGTGCTTTTTGTATACTGTTTAACCCGTGATAATAAAGAGTTGATTTTGATTTCCGATGATATTTTAAATTTGTGTTCCTTTTGAAAGTTTTTTTTTTAAATTAGTGGATAAATAGACATTATGACTAATAAAAGTGTTAGCTAATATGTGAAGCTGTCCGCAGTAGGGAAAATCTTATTCTGAAAAGAACTCCAAGACAGTAAAAGTTCGAAAACCCCTGAAATATGTTCCATATTTTCAAAAAACAAGATATGTGTTAATTAAAATCGTTTTTTAAACCGACTTTTATTCAGTGAAATATATATTTATGTTAGGTAACTTAATCACTTATTAGGCAATTTACCTTTGATGTTTTTTTCTTTAAGTAATTAATATACTGATAAATATTATCCAATAAATAATTAATATTCGACAAACAATATAATATAATATTTATATTTTCTATTTTATGACATAAAAATGACATATGCCCAAAAGAAAGACAGACGATTGGTCAATCAGTGTCAAAGACAAAGATAATCAGAGAGTCGAATATCGCTGACGTGTCTTCAACAAAAATGAGGCGAATTTACTTATCCACGAAGTTTATAAGATCTAAGACTAAAACTACAAGCTTTCGCGCTGGCTAACTTCCCCTTTTATTAATCTTGGTGTTGTTTGTTTACATTGCTAACCTACTACGTTCACTCCACGAACAACAACACCCTAACCACCAACAACAACAACATCGCCGACATATCGTACACTGACGTCAATTCATCACACGTCACCATCGGTCTGTCTGTCTGTGTGACGTCCACGTGGTACAGGGCGACTCCAACGCCGCCAGGATAGAGGTGGCCAATCAGCGGGCCCACGATCTACTCAAGTAGACACACCCACACAAAAATCAAACCGAAATCGAGCCCGCGTCGACCTGTTTCCGCTGCTATTATTGCCGTCAAAAAATGTTTATTTATATCGCTGCTGTAACCGCTACCGTTTCATATCATCGCTGCTTGGCGCGTGACAATAATTTAGGAGGCGTGGCGAGGGCGTGGCAGCGGGAATTGGTCGCGGGAGTGGCCGCCGCCTGATCGTAGTGGGGATTGGTCGGTGGGCGTGGACGTTCAGCCTTTGTTTGTCTCTTGCGGGCGCGGTGAGCGAGGTTTTGGGAACAGGTTTCTACTGGCTTGGGAGGTTTGGTTGTAAAGTAGACTTAGTGTTTCTTTTTAACGAATATTAACTAATCGTCTGCGTCCATTCAGACCAATCGCCATCCCTAGATCTTGAATGTTAACACGGATGTACATAAAGACATTTCTGACCCATCCAAGGGTAATATATCTACTTAACCTAACCAAACAAAATATTATATTTGTATTTATTATCATCTAGCTCCTAAGATATATTTGCGAGTATATTTATCATTGTAGGCTTCATGTTATCGATCATCCGTTTTAATGTAAAGTTTAAGATCCGGGGTCGCGAGTACAGTAAAATCTCTTTTAAATCAATATTTATTTTAGATAGAATTATTAGTCTTTATAGTTTGGGACCCTGCTGGTTCGAGGTCTGTTACTTTTTAAGAGAGAGGCTTTGCTGTACGTCGTAATATAGTTAATTTTGTGGTGAAATATATTGGGGCACACTTTTATAAATCTGTTGGACAGGGTGAGAGCAACGAAACACGAATTGCCGTTGCCAATCAGAGGGCCAACAAACTACTCAAGTCCTAAAGAAAAATGGATATGCTATTCACCTTTCGTACGCTACCTTCTCACATCTTGATGTTACTGGCTTAGCTATTACTACCTATATATTATATAGTTTACTATTTAACTACTGAACGTCAGTATTAACTCGACCCACCAGCGGCTAGAGCAAGTAGTAGTATGAGGATAGTCATAGATTAGCGCCGAGTTTATTCTTTCATATGTATGTCGCAGACGTATGGGTATAGTATGTCTTTTTCTGAAAAACCTAGTCTATAAAATCATCTATAAGGTCCGCTAGAAGTACTACGCCTTTGTTTTTCTGTGTTGCACTTTGAAAATGTCTTTTATTTTGTTTTTAAAGTTTTCTGAGAGATTTACACACTCTGCATATAAAGTGAGACACACATGCAAACAAATTATGAAATACTAATATTTTCTTAATTCATATAGAAGCATAACTTCATATTGAAACTCTAGGATATTAAAATTCGGAATTCTGAAAATATTTGTGAAGTTAGGTTAGTTCAAAATATGTTTCATGCAAGCGCTTACTAGAATATTTTTAAGACAAGTAGAAGTGTGAACGGCAAGTTCTTCCTTATGTTCTTAAGGTTAATGTTAAAGGTAAGGTTAGGACTAATACTCGAAGCATGAACCCACCATTAGAAAATGATATTTGCGACAAAAGTAAAATATTACTTAAACATAACCTCAAATCCAAAGAATATTAATTTGATTTCCAGTGTGACTGGCTTTACGCGCAATGACTAGGCTTTTCGTGAAACAGTAAATTATACCACTTTCTACGACATATATAGATTGTCACCCACAAAGTTACACCCCCTATAGTTAGTGTCAAATAGAATTCAGACATCTGTCAAATATACTAAAAATGTTTTTAAGTATGTTTTTATCATAAAAATGTAAAATATGCATATAAAAATGCTTGAGAAATACAAAATCTGGCAGAGTTGTCACGATTTTAAAAATTATTCTCAAACTTTGCTCAATATTACAACTGAGTACATAGTTGCATTGGTACATCTAGCAATATTCATCCAATACTTGTTTTAAAACTATACTTGAATTTTTAATATGACAGCTAAGTATAAAGTATGCTTTAGGGGTGACACCCAAAGGGTTTAAGACAAGCTGTGAAAAACTTATTTTTCAACTGGTAAAAACTTTGTTAAATGACATCAAAGTTTTGACAGTTTTTCTTATACGATAAACAAAGAATAAACTCCTCTTTGACATATCAGGTCCTCTCATTTTTACCTCACATGTCAAGTGGTCCAATAAGACTTGAACGACTACTCATTATTCAGCCTCTGAAATAGAAAATATCTGTGTATATTATTATCATGTGAGACAAAAGAAGCAATACCTTTAAAACCTGTTTTAACTCTTGTATTATTTACGTTATTTACTGTAGTGTATCGTTATGTGCCTCCTGGATTTTAGCAAATCTTTCGTTTGGTTCGAGTTGACTTAACCTCAACTACTATTTACATCTATATATGTAGTGATTTTTAGCCATATATTATGTAAGTCATGTTATGGTTTGTACAAACGACTGGTTACAGTTTCCATCAGAGTGTGTTAGCGTTTTAAGTTTATTTTTTCCTATGTAATGGAGATGCTAAGCCAAAATTATATAAGTATATTAAGTATATTCGACTTGTGTATTCGTTAAGGAATATATATTTTTTATATAAGGTGTGTCGGTAAAGAACAATAATTTGTATAGTTTAAAAAACTTTTTTATTTATTAGAAAAACAAAATATATTAATAGAAACCATTGAATATAAACACTGAGGTAAGAAGTAGATAGAAAATATTGGCTTGGTATTACGACCGCGAAGGGTTTTCAATATGGCTGACTTGACTTCCGGTTGTTCAGTGGCGTTCGTTTTCTTTTATCCTGACAAAATATAAAAAAATACTCACTAATTTGCTGGGGTTTGTTTTACGGTGAATAAATAGATGTTGATATCCATTATAGTTGATTTTTTTAGCCTTTTCTTCACTTTTGTAATATGAACAAGAAATGATACAAAATAAATATAGAGAAGCCCAAACAAACTCACAAAAACTCTTCGAGAGAATTGTAAATGGTGATTCAAAATGGCTGCCACGACACATCCTTCCGTCTTTAATGTACGAATATAAAAATGGCGTTTGACTTCTTATACGTCTTTTTATTCAATGGTCAATTCCTGATATTTATTTGGCATCGTTAAAACTGATTTACGGCTCAACTTACGTTCATTGCGACGTTGCCGCACTTACCACTTTTTCCTAGTTCTAGTTCTTTACGGACACACCGGTACTACAGATTAAGAAAGGCAATACAGTTAAGGTACTTTGGTTTTTAGACAATAAAATGTTGGAAATACGGTAAATGTCTTGATTTTTTTAATCTGTGCTGCGTTTAGCGTCTCTTACTTTCTCTCAAACATCGATCTGCACGTTACCTTGCTGCGATTGTTTATCGATTCTTATTAGAAATGTAGTATCGCTATCGATATTTTTCTTTGTCTTCTTCTGATTCCATTTCGGTGCCTCGTTTTGATTGGGTCGATTGGAGTGACGTCACCCGGTATGCAACGATCGCGGATCCATTTTATTTTCGCCCTTATAGCAACTAGGCTTAGGGTTGAAATCGAACAAACGCATAGAGAAGGATGTATTTTCAGTTGCATACCTTGTAACGTCACAACTGTCGGACCTGTTGTCTGCGCCCAAGGCGATTTAGGATGCCGTCGTTAGAGTAGAAACGCGAAAGGCATTTGGTGCATTTTAAGCTTTAAATTTGTTAAATTATTATTCGAAATGTTGAACAAAAACCAAGAGAGTTAATGGATTGTTACCCAAGCGGTTTGTAAATAGGGGAATCTTCTATCTGTGCGTGTAAATAACGTTTTTGTTCTTTAATTTTGCCATGCAGCAAGAAGTTTTAGCTGAATATCGTTTAAAAACGTTTATAAGGTGATTTAAAAGACCCGGTATTCATACGAGATTATTTTAGTAATGTTATTTTATTTATATATTATTATATTTTGTATTTATTGTTTTATTTTAAACATTAACGAAAAAAAAACACCTGTTTCTTCCATTTTAATATGTAGTAAAGGAAATTCGCTCTTTTATTGGTTGGTTTACAGAGGGAGGTAGTGTACAGTGTGGACCAAGTTTAGCATTTTTACATACCTAATACATTAAACACGAATATAAGATTAAACAGTTACATATCTAAGAAAATGTTAACGTTTCTATTATATATAAGACATGTTTTGGTCCACGAGGAAATGTTTGTTAAAATGCTCAGTAGTTCTGGAATGAGGTTAAATAAAATAAAATTAGTCCTTAATAGTTCTTATATATTTTAAATAATATTTAATAGATAGTACGCTGATATTAATTTTATTTTTTCAATAAGTAATTTTCGTACTTTATTAATTTTATATTCTTAGTTTTTATTTTATTAGATCAAGTTACAGAGCGAATTTCCAAATATGAATTCTGTTTTACTGTACAGATTTAGTCGAAAAACTATTTAAGGTCATAGAGTTAAGCGAATGAGTGATACATAAATACTTAAGATTTGGAGGCTGTTGTGTATTTCAAAATACGAATACAAAAAAACGTTGTATTTTGACCTCTTTTTTTTTCATAATAATTATTAACCTAGCATAGTAAGCTTTTGAAATAGTCATTGTAGGTCTTTTTCCAGACAGTTGGAAGTAAAAATAATAATTATTATTTATATAATAAACTATAACAATTATTCTAATATTGTATAGTGTAGTTATTTCAAAAAATAAATCATATTACCGAAAAAGAATTGAGTTTTATTTTAAGAAACATTGAGAGAAATACTTAAAATAATACAGGGATAATCATAAATAAATGTAATAAATAAGACTATTTATGATTATTCAGTGAATTATTCATGTTTTATATTTTGAGATACAGATTCGGATTGCTGGAGTAGATCTTCGCCTTCTCTATTAAAAGATGGATCAAACATTTTACCTTCTGGATTTATTTTGAATAGATATTCCGCCAGGTAATCCACTGGATCGTCTGGTCGTATTTTTGCCACTTCCAGAAGTCCTTACATTGGAAAAAATCGATTTGATTAAAGTTACAGTTTAAGAAATATCTAATAAGTTGGTCCAGGCTTTTTTACTGTCTACTGGACAATCCTGCGAGACTGCGCCATTGTTTGACGGGTTTAAAGGACAATACAGTAGCGCGTACTTTCTATTTAACGCGTATATATTCAAACTTAGATAGTATTATATCATACCTTGTGTCAATGTTGGGAAAACGTATTTCATCAGGTAAAATCGTAGTGGCTCAGTTTCTGCTGCTATTATTTTTTCCTCTTCCATTTGTAGTTTTTCCAAGGTTTCAGCCCATTTCTCCATCTTGTCTTCATAGTCTTTTTTCGCTTGTTCTTCAGCAAGCTGGTGAAAAAAATGTTTCAAATGAAAATTAGCCATTTAATGCCAACAAACCAACGAAAAGAGGCTTATTTATTAATTTTATTTACACATGATGAATACTTAATAAGTTTTAAACAGAAAGACTGTTAATTGTTCTAACTTAATGCAAACTAAAAAAAAATTCTTAACCTTAGATTTACTACTCTGAATTGAATAAAATAGTATTAATAGTATTGACACAAACCTCACCTGTTTCTCTAGCATATAAGCTTGCTGCTTCAATCTCTGTTCCTCCTGTTCCAACTTCTTCAACCTCTCCTCTTCTTCATCGCTTAAACCTATGCCAGGAATGGGAGGTCCGAAAATATTGTAGAGATATTTCAAAATGCATTCTAGATCTTCCACAGCCTCGTCCATCAAATCGATCAAGATGGGATGGATGTCAGCCTCGTCGAAGAAAGTCAACACTGTATTGTCGGGTGTGTTGTTCTCTCTGAACTCCATCAGTCTTCTTATCATGTTTGGCTCGTCATAGTGTGTTCCCTAGAGTTAAATTGGCGGAATAGAGTTAACTTACAGATTGGAAATTCGCTTTTTAGTTATTTCAAATAGATATTGCCCTAGATTAACCGTAATTAAACTGTCTCAGACTGTTTAGTATACAATCCTGCAAGACTGCGCCATATTTTGCTCGGTATAAAAGAAAATTCCATGGCGTATAAAAACATCTAATAATAATAATACAATAAATACTCTACCAAAAATAGTCGCAGGTGCGAAAACAAGATAAGGTAAATCATTCTAATTTTATTTTCGCTAAAATTCTGTACAAACTTTTAGAAAAGCACTCTGTGTATGTAGAAATAAGGTAATGTGACATCTGTAGTCTCACTACACACACCGGAAAAGTCTAGGGATATTACAATTTTATCCAGCCATCGTCAGTAATTTTATTATTTGCATTTCTGATATAATAAAATTAAAATAAACAAATAGTTTACAGGACGTATTGGAAATAAAAATGCGAAATTTACCGAATTTTTCAAATTTACCTAGATTCTTATTGAACTCAAAAAAACACACACATTTTTTTTATTCTAAACTGTGAATTAAAAAAAAAGATAAAACCATTTTTACTTAATAAAGGGTATGGCCTCCTCTACTGTTCATTACAGCCCTACATCGTCTCTCCATGCTCCTGATCAGGTTGTCAATCTCTTCTTGAGGTACAGCCTGCCACGCTGCATTCACGGCCCGAACCAGATCCTTACGAGTTTCACGAGGCATACCCATTCTCAAAATTCTTCTTTGGACCGCGTCCCATACGTGCTCGATGGGGTTGAGGTCAGGAGATTGTGCCGGCCAGGGTAAGATGTTTAATTGATTCATTGATAAACTCACTTACCACTCTGGCTGTATGAGGCCGTGCATTGTCATGCATGAGAATGAAGTTCCTCCCAAAATCATTGGCATATGGTAACACGACAGGCTTAAGAATTAAATCACGATATGTAATTCCTGTTAGAAACCTTTAAAGGAAAACGAGATCGGTTTTTCGGCCTAACTGGACTCCTCCCCAGACCATAACTGTTCCACCTTGATAAGGGTGCACTTCCTGAACATGATACAACCGAATAAGATTTCCCGGTTCTCTCCATACCCTAAGCCTTCTCAAATCCGGATGAATTCCAAAGCGTGACTCATCCGTGAAGAGAACATTGGCCCATTGTTCATTTGACCACTGAACATGATCTTGAGCCCACAAATATCGTTCCTCTCGATTTCTTCTCGTTAAGGGTTGAGCTCTCCAGGGGCGTCTGCTTCTTAAGTTGACCTCTCTTAATCTATTGCGAACAGTGTCAGGACTAACGGTTACATTATGTGTTTCCTGGAGATTTAAACTACGCTCTGGTGCTGTAAGAGTCGGTCGGCGTCGAGCATATAATTGTAAAAAATGAGCTTGCTGAGGGGTAGTAATGCGATGTCGCCCTGTGTACCTTTCAGCAACATCACCACTTTCACGGTAGCGTGCACTTAATCGCGATATTACACTTTGCGTTGTATTTAATGCTCTAGCTACGTTGATTTGGCGCATTCCAGCTTCGAGCATACCCATGGCCCTTAGCATTTCGTCTCCGTTAAGATGTCTACGCTCCATAATGTCGTTTAATACTAAACAGAGTTATTTGAATGAATTCTGGCCAATTATCATAAAAACATAGACAGTACAGGTTAAATTCGAACAATTGATGCTAGATGCTTTTTATACATTTGACAAAAAATGCACAAACACTTCTGCAAATATCCCAAATTTAGAAATAACTAGCGTGACTACTTCGTTTCAATCGAAGTAGAAAGAATCGGCCTACAAATATGTGGTTGTTTATTCAAAACATTTATTTTTAACTTTAATAAAATGATATCCCTAGATTTGTCCGGTGTGTGTATTTTGTAACGAGATATCTAAATAAGTTATATAAAGTTTATAAATTATACCTGTATGTCTCTTTCTGGAAGCCTCATCACTCTTTCACAAAGAAAGTCGTCGTCTGCTTGTAGACTGATGACGAAATCCGGCATAATATCGATGCTGGCGTTGCCTACGGCGCCTCCCACTTTGAGCATGTCACCTCCTTCACCGGCAACTTCCTCGGGTATGGTCTCGCCTTTAGCCTGTTCTGAAGTGTCTTTTGGGGCTTCGGCGGCTTGGCCAAACAGTTCTTTAGCCTTGCAAAATGATTTGGTTAGTGACTATACACTAGTATCCCACACTATACGGTGTTACCTGTTGCAGAGTTTTCGGAAACCCATCCAGAACATAGCCGTGACTCTGGCAACGGTCCTTGGATAGGAAAACTCTCATCAAACGCACCACATAGTCGTCCGGCAGTTTGTTATTGGGACTCTGACTCAACAAAGCGTTGATATCTCGTATTTGTTCCTCCCATTGTTGGATGTCTCTATCGTCTGCTATGTCTCCTTCTTCCTCTTCCTCCTCCTCTTCTTCAACTTCCTCATCTACAAGGCCAGTTTTTTTACGTATTAAACGGCCTCTACACTATTCGCGAAATAGGCCGAAGTCGAATAGTGTAGAGGCAGTTTTAGAAAGAAGCAACTCCATATTAATTATCCCGACAAATTTAAAAAATAGTGTAAACAAATATTATAACTCACCCTGTATATCTTCTTTCCTTTTTTCCAATTTCTGTCCAGCAGTTTCCTTGGCCATTGCAATATTGTGCCTCTTAAAGTTAAAATTTTTTTGATTTCTACATTTTTTATGATTCGTAACTTACCAAATCTTCTAAAGTCTCTTCAATCATCGTTTTCACTGACACATAATGAGCCCCATATCTCCTACATATCCTGTTGGCTATGGCTGTTTTGCCTGAAGCAGGAGGCCCATGTAAAACAGCCTTTAGTGGTTTTAATATCGACCCGAATTGTGTATTTGGACTTTTCGCATCCTTATCTGTCGCCATTTTTATGACATTGGCGTTTTCAAAAAATTATGCATGAAAAATATCAAAGTTTTGGACAACCTGTATAGCAGAATTTCAAATAATAATACTTGGCAACGGTGTAAAAAGTCCTGTTTAACTCGACATAATCCAAGACGTACCTGACTAGGAGTCCTTGGATTTATTTTCCATGCCGTATGTCTGTGATTATATCTTTATGTAACCGTAAAGAGGTTTGAAATTATTTTCTGTTATTTTAAACTATACAATTGATTATTTTCTATATTATTGGATAAAAATGACTGAAAGGATGAGGCTGCGGTCTTCTGTACCCCCTGAAGAAAGAGAACTTGAGATTGTAAGTAGAAAAAGTACAGAAATGTGTTTAATATCATTTGGCGCTAAAATACATAACCAAAATATCTGTGAAAACATTTCCTTTTTAGAAAAGAAAAAAGCAAGAAATCGAGGAAAAACTTAACAGGCCTATGATAGAGTACTCAGGTAAAATAAACTATACAACCACCTTTTTAGATTGTGCTTTTACTTGTGACGATTTGCTGTAAGTACCTATGGCTCATTGCAAACAGAAAGTTTACGAACATACAAATAAGTTTATATATGTAATAATTACAGATCAATAGCAGACAATTGTTCTGATGATCATATGGTGGTTGGTTTCGATATGGAGTGGAGTTTTAACTTTCAAACAGGCCCCGACAGAACAGCTCTAATTCAGATAAGTCCCACTTTAGATGTTTGCCACTTATTACACATTTCAGAATTAAGGAGTCTCCCGAAGGGTTTAGTTAAGTTTTTAGAACACCCTAAAGTACGATTAACAGGCGTTAATATCAAGAAGTGAGTTAAAAATTTATTTTACATGTGTACAGTTTGTTAAAAAATGAATTTTCAGTGATGTAAGGAAACTTTCTCGAGACTTTATAGGTTTCGATGCAGAAAAACTTGTAAATAATTGTATTGATTCTGGTGTCATGGCAAATACTGTACTGCCTGTAACACAAAGGTGGAGTATGGAAAAGTTAGTGGACTATGTGGTACGTTTTTAAATTATACTTATTTTCGGTGGGCTAGGTATACATTAGTTATTGAATATTTTAGTTAAAAATGAAAATAAATAAGGACAAGAAAGTTAGAATGAGCCGATGGCATAAAGTACCTTTAAGAACAGATCAACAAGTTTACGCTGCTATAGATGGATATGTGAGTGAAACTTCACTTGCAAAGTGATTTAATACAAATAAATATTTCTTTTTCAGGCTTCCCTCTTGCTTTACCACGAACTGAAAAAGATTGAGTCAAATTTATCTCCTGAAACAATTAAACAATAAGAAAAACCTTACCTTGTAATTTATTATACTTTATTTTTTGTTTTGCTACATATTAATTGATTAATTTCTGTGAGAATTATACTTTATATTTATATTTTGATTAAATAAAACTTACATAGAAAAAATGAGTTTATTAATGTGCTATTATAGAAATGGATAAATGTATTATAGAAATTTTCATGAATCTGTTTATTTTGAAAATCACAGCACTCTAGATAAGTCTACAGTCGCACAGAAAGCTACTAAAGCTTGATTCTCACTATACGTTCCGTATCCGCGTTGCATAGATAAATGCAACAAGTTTAGATTGGAAAGCCCGTAAAAAATTTAGGTCGCGAAATTATTTTGGGTCGCGACCGTTATACGCGATCTGGCGCTGCTATAGCGGTCGCTAAGAACAACGGCAAACAAAAACAGAAATAATTTTCTTTTGTCAAAGTCAGAATCTTCAAAAATCATAAAAATCTTCAAAATCTAAACCGCTCTCATTAAAGAAATTCCGAAAAGTGTTTATAGCGTCCATTTTCAAAGTAATTATTGCTACTTTGTGAGTTTAATTCAAGTTTTATTTACTCCAACCGGTGATAATTGTGAAAAAGTGGCATTAAAAACTTAAAAACCTGTGCTGTGAACTGTGAACTGCAAAAACCATCGTGGATCGTGGCATAACGTCGGTTTCCAATGTTTCATAGGTATTTCATACATGCGTCCTTATATAAAATAAAGTTTCTTGTATGCAACACACTGTATTTTATTTATAATATATAACGAAAATAATAATAGATTTGAATAAACAATATTTGGCGATATAATTCCGGAAAAAGCCGAACCGCTCCGAAATTTTCAAAAGTTTTGGGTCGCGACCGTTGCAAGAATAGCGCCAAATAGTGTTTACATTGTCCTTATGGGCACTTTCCAATCTAAACTTGTTTCATTTATCTATGCCGCGTTGTTTCAAAATGGCGACAGTGCGTAAGGCCGTACTTCAAATTGCCAAAATTTTGGAAAAAGAACTGACTGAACGCTAGACATTAAATCATATTCAACTGACACACGAGTCGACTCATTTGATGAATTGACATGATTCGTAGAGATTAGACCGAATTGAAGTGACTTGGATCAGTTGTATAAACGTGTAAACGCACCTTAAAAAAAACAAAACAAGCTAATTGACAGTTTTCAAAATGTGCGCATTTTTAAACTTAACTAAAAAATTATAATATACACCATAAGAGATAAAGAAAAGACCAAAGTACAACACATAAATTATTTATTTTTAATAGAGTTTTTGGAAATACATTTTTTTGGCTTAATTCAACTTTCCGTTTGGCAATGAAACTTGCCTATTTTACTATACATCCTAGTTCAAAGCTACTTTGTTTTAGATAGATTAACGTTATGTAAAAAACAAACAACAATACCAAAAAAGTCTAGTTATAAGCTTTCTCTATGTCACATTCTAATTTAGATTAAGGTTTTTTCTTCTTCCTCTAATTTATAGGATCAGCAAAAAGCAGTTTGTTACATTTGTATTTTCTTCTTCTTCATTTTTAACTAAATTATGGTTCTTACATGTCGAATAAGTCGTTCAGTTAGTGCTAACGAAGACTTTGCAGCCTAGTCAATACATTTCAAGTAGTTTTTTAACTTATTTCTTTAACTTAATATATTTATATATATATAAAAACGCTCTTAAATATAGTTTGGTATTCTATATCAAGAGAATAGAAGTGTTAATTTAGATTAAACATACTGTATAAAGTAATACTGAAGTTAATTTTTTAAACAAAACACGCAAATAATAAATGACAGATACAGAATATATAAAGAAAATTAAATCACAAAAAAATACTTCGATTGTAATAGCAAAGCTTCCCCAATTTATTCTGCAGACAAAAATAACTAAAAAAACTATATACGGACCCTTAAAAAACTTTCATATTCCTTCAACTTCACAAAAAAATCCAGATCTTGTGAAAAAAACACCAAATTTCGTGTAAATTACCTATTTTATAATAAGGAGAAAATTTTTAAAAACTTATTTCTGATAATTTTTGGACACCGATATAGATATTTTCGTTTACCTATTTATTTCTTTACAACTCCAACTTTGGTTTAATTATGGTATGTGTGTAATAAAACGTGTTGAAAGATACAAATGTATCAATTCAATTTTTTGTTAAATGTTAAAATCTTTCAAATTGTAAACTTTTTGACAGCAGCATTGCTTTAAACTGAGGCATCCTTAATTAAACACCGTTAAAGTTAAAAAAAATAGATGTAGAAAACGTAGCATTTTAGGAGATAAATTTGTACAAACTTTTTTACTAATTTTTATCTGCAGAATGTTGCCAAAGTTTCACGAATACAATTCGGGCCACCCTGTATAATTCCTTACTTAGATCAGAAGTTAAAAAAAATACTAGAAAATAATAATATTGCTTAATTCTCTTAGGCTAAAACACCTTGTAGATAATTAAATAGCTAAACTAAAATAAAGAATCTTCCATGTTCTTCAATTCTCCTGATAGAAAACATGTTTGTTCTTAGTTTTTTAAATGTTGAATATGTATTGACTATAACAATTTGTTTCAACCATAGATTAAAAAAACTAGAGAGGTGACCTGTTTGTTCACTCCAACATAATATACAGCAAACAACTTATTAATAATTGATTAACTCAATATTTATAAGTATTTGGGGGTGTCCTATTATTTTTATCTCTTCTCTAATATCAAAAGAAAAATATTTTCTTTTGAAATTTATTTAGAAAATTTTTAGACATGTTTTATTTTATTTATATAGTAGAAAAAATGTCTACAAACGATGCGATAATCGCAATTTTAATAAATTCTTAGGTAATATAATATAGGGTTTTTCTTAAATAAGTGTAAAAAAAATTATCTGGCTGTATATTTCAGCCTCAGAAACACGTCTATGAGTTGTTTCAGGAAAAAAAAACGTGAAATGTTTCAGGAAAACTTTTTAGAGCTACTGATTCATCTGAAAGCATCACAATATTTTTCGTTGGCAGTTTGCTAAATGACATACAACGTTGCCACTTCGTACATAACCTACACTCTCAATTGTCGTTCATAATAACGTCATATTTGAAGAAAAATGTTAAAAATAAATAACGTTTATGTTCATGTGGCAACATAGCTACACGGCTATATTTTCTAGACATGTCACCTCTGTGTGTTCCTTCTTAATCTATGGTTAATTCAGTTTTATTTTCTTGAGATCTAAACACTAAGCAGATTACTGTTAATTTTACCTAGTCTAAGCTTGACATTAATAAATATCTAAACATTACATAATTATTTACTCTTTAACAATACAATACATTTCTCTGAAACGTACTTTTTAGAATGTATCTATCATATATTTTTTTAAGTTCTTAGCACTTTTTCCTAAAAGACAAATAATTTAATTCAAAAACCCTTTCGGATTTTTTTTAAAACTATCTTGTTATTTATTATATTACACTGATTTAGTTAAATCATCATTCTCTACACTCACTCATATATAATCTATTTTTTTCTTGCTAGGGAGTAAAGGAAAAAAACTTTCTATCTACAAAAACATTCAATTATATTGATTTTTTTCTCAGAAGTTTTTTTCCGATGCTCCGGGCCAGTAAATTTTATATAAACTATATAAGAAAAGTCAATTTTTCTGGAAATGCTTTACGGATTTCCTATACTCTCGATAACAAAGAAAAAAAAAACGAATAGGCTTCTTAATATAAAATAAATAGATTAAATTAATCTTTGGCAACAAACGAAAAATAAAAAAATCTAGCTAACATTCAAGTAAACGATAAATAAATAGTATAAGTTAAAAAAATATTAAGAATTGCACAAGTTATCACATTACAATGAACATATAATATATCTACTATAACTTAACTACAAAAAATGTATTAATATTTTAAATAAATGTAATTAAGTCAGAACAAGAAACGTCATAACATGTCACTGCCAGATTTTCCAGGCCTGCTCGATTATATTTATTTACAGTCATATGACCAAAGAAAAGAACTACTAAACGCGATAGTATTTGTGAATGGTTTATTTGACCTACTCGTTTCAAAATCACATGTTCAAAAGAACTACTGCTTCACCAAAATAAATGTGTTTTCGAAAAATAGATAAAAAAAAATAAAAATTGTTTTTCTGAAGGGTTTATATGACCTACTCGCTTGAAATTCACAGGTTCAAAAAAAGAACTACTGTTTCACAAAAAAACGTGGTATCCATAAATAGGTAAAAAAATAAAAATGGGTTTCTGAAGGGTTTATATGACCTACTCGCTTGAAATTCACATGTTCAAAAGAACTATTGCTTGAGAAAAAAAACCGACATTACATTTTTTTTATTAAAAACGGTTTTTGTGAAGGGTTTATTTGACCTACTCGACTGAACACTTAATGTTCAAAAGAACTACTAAGTCAGGAAAAAAACGAACTTAAAAAATGGGTAAACATAATTTCTTTATTAATAAAAATCGGTTTTGTAAAGGGTTTATTTGACCTACTCCAGTACAAATTAACGTTCAAAAGAACTACTACAGAAAAACCGACACTGTAGAAATGTGCAAATATTTTTTTCAAAAATAGTTTTCTGTAGGATTCATCTGACCTACTCGGAGATGACCTGTTCAAAAGAACTACTGCTTCGGGAAAAAACGATACTATAAAAAAAAGCAAATATAAAAAATGATTTTGAATGGTTCATTTAAACTACTCGCTTGGAAATCACATATGTTCAAAAGAACTACCGCTTCAGAAAAGTTCGAAAAATGTTTTTTAACAAGAAAACAAATTACAAACAATCCAACCGAAATTCTATCGCATTTAATAAGACTTTCCCTGAATAATAACCTCTGTTAAAACGTAACCATATTTTTCTATATAGCAAAAGACAAAACACTGAATACCACTTTACACGTTCACATTCTGCGTAAAATACAGTTAGAATTAGATATCTGTGCGTATAGTGTTCGCGATTCATTGCGAACCAGTGTTTAACAGTATTTATATGTATTTATATATATTTATATTTTTTTTTCTGGACAAACTAGACAACGTAAACAACCGACGACAACCTTTAAACTATTCCATATATAAGAGCACTACGAAGATTCGAAAAGAATAAATATTACCTAAAAAATAATACAATAAATATACTGACTATATACCTAAGTATACAAAATTAAAAAAAAATGTGGCACAAATTGTAGGACAGTTCTTTTTAAGATGAGAGAACTGTTTAAAATTATTTAAAAGTTCACTGAAAAAATAACGTAAATATACCGTATAATCGAAAAAAAAAACAGGCGTCAAGTAGGCTTGGATATTATAGCTATTTTCATTTCCAAGCTAACTCTGACGCTGTTTTTTTTTCATTATATGGTATACTGAAGTTACTTAAAAATTACCTTTTAGATATTTTAAACAGGCTGTGTTATTTAAAATACAACCTCTTCAAAAAACACAAAATGGCGTTAAATTAACTTACCTGACCTAGAAAATAACGATAAAAAAATAAAATAAATACTAGAAACTATCTACACATCTCTTAAACATTAAATATAGCTAAATATATAGGATGTCTCAACTTGCGTGGTTTATTAAATCATTAAAGAAAATACCAACAAACTTTAGGCTCAAAAATAAAGAATCAACTTAGAGAAATATTATTTTTTTACAGGGAACATCCTCGTTTGTGCTCATACATATTTTGATATTATATTATCGAATATTCTATTAGAATAAGAATCAAGTAATCTAGGACACTCTATATATGGAGCTATACACATATATATATCTTTTTTTTGTATTTCACACACGTTCAACCTTGTGTTATGTATCAATATTTACATAGGCCATACAATTATAATGACTAGACTATCAACGAAGGCTAGAGCCAATTAGAAGCTGAATGAGGGTACCATGTTTCCCTAAACACATTTACAGCGACAATATTAAATAAACTAAAAAAAACTATAATAAACGAGAATCAAATATTAAAAAAAAAATACTTTTAGCCTCTGTATATTATGTTTTATACTATTAACTTTACATAGTCTCAGAAGCTTTGTTATTTACAAATACGTTTTCAGAAAATGCCTGGTAAAAATAAGAACGATTTTTAAAATATTTACACATACAGAGTGGATGATTTTTAATATGGAAGCTATACCATCCTGGACATTTCTACGTGGCCTGTATTTTAAAACAGGCGACAGAGAGAAATATAAATGACCGGTTGACAGACAGAGAGACGAAATAAATTCCCTGCATACAGTGTTGCCGGTTTTACGCGTGTAGAAAAAAAATCACCTATTTTAAAAAGTATCACGTATACTACTGAAATGAAGATAACATATCTAAGCTAAATATAATCTATTACAGCTCTGTAGTAAAACGAGTAACTAATTGTGAAAAATAAATTTGCAACCCTAGATGCAACATATTTCATAAACGCCCACTGGTGCGGTTTGAAATTTTGGTGCAAAATCCGGCAATACCGTATAGAAGAGATGTCCTGTACGTATAAGAGAATTTTAATGACACCTGTCAAAATGAGTGACGATGCTTGAAAAAAAAATTGTAAAAATATAAAATGGCTCTTTAAGTCTCTTAAATTAGTGGCTAAGATGGCATTCCTTATCGAAATAAAAAAAAATAATATTCTTCCCCTCAAAAAGTAAAAATATAAAAAAAATATTATTTTTGTTTAGGTCGCGAAAATTCTAAATTTTTTTCTTATCTCTATACAGGTCTAATATTCTATAATTAATAAACGAGTTTTTTTTGCTAGTTTGCTAATAATATGAGCCCGGAATTATTAGCAAAATCTTCCTAGTCATTCTTAAATATATTCTTTTTACAGAAATTATAAAAATATTTAGAGGGTGATTTCCTTCACTTATTTTGATCATTTTTTTCGCTGTAATATGTACACATTTTATGATTAATTATATATAAAACATTATGGATAAAAAGTAGAAATCACCCTGTATATAATACTGATAGTACCACTGTTTCAAATTAAAAAACTACTGTCTTATTTTTCATTTAAATATTATGAGTTTTCCAAAAAAAAAGCATCATTTCAAAGCCTACCTTGACGCTGTTTTTTTTTCGATGGTATAGTATATATTATCATAACCTTCAAAAGTAGTTTAATATAATTTGAAACAGGAATTCTATCAAAAATATTTTTTTTAATTTTGATCTAGATAAATAAATCTATATTTTTACTAAAACTCTTACTCAAACAACTCAATATTCGTTTTTTAAACTCTGAAATAGACAACACACGTTAAAAAATAAACAACATAGATAATCTAAATAGAATCCATAAAAATACTCTTTCTTTCTTTCTTTTTTTGCCTATTTCTTTCACAGATATGCATTTAATAAAAGCTCACGTTAGAACAAATTCTTTTTTCTATAAATATAAATTCTGTACATACAAGACGCCGTTTTTTTAAAGGTATCTTTAAGACATAGACATTAAAAGATGTAGATAGCACATTCTAATATAAAATATGCAAAAAAATAGATTTAGAATTGAAGTTGTGTATTGAACTAGTGACAAACGATGTATCAAAAACTGTGATTTAATCAATGATATCATAAGGTTACAATATCATACAATGGCTATAGCCATGGAACAGTATAAAAGTGATGATCAAATCATATCAATTTATTTGAAATTTTCAAAAACGGTAAAGAGGAAAAATGTTTCTTTTATCGAGATCTACCAACCCTGAAAATATTTGCACTTAAGACTCACCCTGTATATACAATAAAGATCAAAAAGAAATTATATTTTATATGCTTACTGTGACATTATTTTCATTTAATAAAATAAATTTTTATTGCAATCAATTGCACAACCATAATTTTGAGGAATTTTTCATTTAACGAAAAATATTTATTGAACTACTAATTTTGGCTTTTGGGAAAGTGCGTTTAGGTTATTTTACCAGCTGCATCTCGTTATAAAAGCCAGAAATATCAAAATAAAAAATGGGAAAAAATAGAAATTCAGAGAATTATAAAATTATCTTGCATTTCCTGATCTTCTGGAGTACAAGTGTGACACAAAAAAATTCTTGGAAATTCGCAAATCTCTGGAGACAATATTCCGTCGTCGGAAGCAAAAAAATACAAAGAATAAAGAAAAAAACTATTTAAAATATTTAAATTCAACTATTCGAGGACACTTTAGTTTTTTTTAAACAGATAGGTCTACAAAACCGTTGACGTTCTGTTAAAATGACATTATAGCAAGTTAAACTTCAAAATTAACAATTACTACCTGATAATAATAACTTTAATCAGTCAGTTCTTTGAAGAATATGTGTCTATCTATAACTTTTAATACCTATGCCCCACCATTTTCTTCATCATTTAAACAAAATACATAAATGCAATAAGAAAAAACCAGTAAAAAAATCATCAAACCACAACAACTCCTCAACCTCTTACTTAAACATAAACCAAAGTAACACGTCCTTCCGCAGCGACATGCGCGCCCTCTGGTAGGTGAACGTCAAAAACAAAGCTTCGAGGCCCGCCACAGATTCAAAAAACTGCGAAGGAACCAAAGCTGTTGAAGGATCGAATTTAGTGACAGCTGTCAAACGATGGTGTTGACGTTTATTCTGTAGCCATCCGCGAGGGGCTGAAGTCGCGGTTGACTATGGAAAAACCGCGGAATTCTTCCTGGTTGATGGACTGGAGCACCTCGTTGCTGACGGGGGTGAGCGTAGGCTCTTCCCTGGTGAATTCCGCGTCGAAATTGGCCACGTCTTTGCGGCTTCGCTGCGAAAGGAAAAGTAAAAACGTACAGAAATGTTTGACTGATAGCCATCAGGGTTGGTTAGGTAGAAAATTTAATATTTTCCAGGGATCGAAAATATCATGATATTTATATAAATATATCACATGATATACAGGGTGTCCCACGCTGAGCGTGCATTAGAAGTTTCTAGAGAACTACAACATCTAGCTCGGAGATTTTTTGCACACCGTAGTTTCACAACGAGATCTATCGATTAAAAATATTTTCAATATGACGGCACTTCCGGAAATACCGGAAGTTGACAGCAACTTTCTTATTTTAAATCGGTGTCCCCATTTTTTACTATGTACTTAAATTCTCTGTAAAATTTTATGAATTTTGATATTAAACACTCTATATCTAACATTGACTGTTTTTGAGAAAAAAAATATTTAAAATTTTTGAACGAAAAAAACTGCCTTTTACAATTTGTAAACAAAGGTAAAGTAAACAAACAAAAGAGAATACAAAACAAGTATACAAATTACATTGTCAGTCTTATTGTTTAAAATAAACATTTATAAATGTTTACAATGTCAAAGAATAAAAAAATAATATTCAAAAATATTTAGTAAGTTTATAGTAAATATAGTAATAGCACAGATTAGGTATACTATATGTATACAGATAAAAATCTTATCCCTAACTCGTGATACGAAAATTGTTTTTTATGACGATGTGCAAACGAGTAAAATTTCCTCTGCGCAAAAATAAACTCGCGTAAAATAACAATAAACAGCGTAATAGAGAGATATCGCTAAACCGAATAGCGTGCATGGACGTTAATAAGGCCAGGTGTTATTTCCTTTACGTGAGGTGGTATTAACTCTCTTCATTTATAATTATCGGATCGGAAAGAATTCTGTTCGCGTCGCGTCCGCTATTTAAACTTAACCTAACTTTGAATTTAAAACTTTGAAATTGTTTTGTTTACTAGGTATTTTAAAACTAAAGGGCTAAAGTGCTTATTTCCAGTGCTTTATTGTTCAACGTCTGCCAGTGGGTTTGGGGCAACAAGAAACAAATTCTCTTAGAAGGGCTAAGTCGTCATCTGCTGTAAACCTAAGTCTCTTTATAGGTTCTTTAATATTGGAAGAGGTGGAAGCCATATTTTGGGCCATATTTATTTAATTAAAACTAATCTCAGCGACTTAAATATCAAATTACCTAATAAAACTAAAGTAATAATTCAAAACAATTCAAACATAACCTAAAATAAAAGATCTCACATGCCCATTTAAGCAATTTTTAAACGTTATTTAGAAAAAGCGCTTGGTGTAATTGATCCGCAAATTACGTCAGGCGGTAACGTTATTAGCGGGTGTTGCGTTAAAAATTGACTCGCGCCAACTCGCGCATATTGTAACCATGATAAGGTAAGCGTAAATACTGTGGCGCTGTGCACAATTTTAGAGGCCATAAGTGAGCGTGCTATGTGCGCAAACTAGTAACCTAACTAGTGCCCGATTCCGAAAATTGGAATCACGAAAAACAATAAAGAAAAAACAAAGTTTATAATCTCTATAATCTGTGGTAATAGCAAATATTAGACCAGTGTTTACAAGATCAAATTCGATTATCAAAATATAAGTCATCTACGGCGTAGAAAGCCTTGTCTAGTAAATAAGATTTCAATGCTTTTTTCGGGTTATATAATATTGAACTTTTAACTCTGAGCGTGGGGTAGGTAGATAAAGATCTTGCTCGGCGTTACTGAGTGGATAAGTGTGAGATGGCCTTTCTCTTGAGAAGCTGATACTGATAAAATAGTTTTATACTTACAATTCTTGGCCTAAACGGTGGTTTAACTTTCCTAGTTTCTAACGCGTTCCAGTCAATTTCTCTGAAGAAAGCATGCATCAAAATGGCAGCCTCGCAACCCTGGTTCACCTGGCAACCTAAGCGTCTGTTCGGGTTCTTTGTCATGAACCCTTTTAAAATGTGAACCTGAAAAAAACATTTAAATGCATAACAAATCTGAAATAAACTTTATTAGAAAAAATCGTCCCAAAACATTCGTTGAAAAAATCGATTTTCTGGCAAAAACAAAGAATTTAAGTTTTCATTCGTTTATATATTCAAAATCTACATCAAATTTCCTACAAATCCTGAAATATTCATAATTTTAGCACTATATCCACTACTTTTCTGAGACCTCTACAAGTCTAAAATATAGACTAAAATAGACATTTTTTCAATATTTTTCCCATACTAATTACAGGTCGTAAAAAAGGGCTCTTAGGAGTATCAGACTAGATGTAGGCATAATTTAAACTACCAGAAAAAATGTGATAGAAGTTAAAAGCGATGATAACGAAAATTTTATTTTAATATATGTATTCTACCAGAACTTAAAGAAGCTGCAGAAATAGCAAAATCAAGAGAAATGAGAGAAAAGTGCCAATGCAATAGCTAGAAATGTTTCAAGTTTTTTAAAGTTTTAAATAAACCATTTTTTAATGCAAAAATTCCAAAAAAAAAAACGTTAGAAACAATTTTAAGTAAAAAAAGACTAAAAAAGTGATACTTACTGCTTCCTTGCTAAGCCATACTGGGTACAATACATCGTCGTGTAAAATGGACTCAAACAAATCATCCTCATTATCTGCCTCAAAAGGAGGCTGTCCTGCCATCATTTCATACATTAGTACACCTAGTGCCCACCAGTCTACGCTTGCGCCATACTCCAACTCCTGTAAAACATAGAGAACATAACGCATAATAATATATGAAGAGCTAGAGAAAATATGTATAAAAATCTAACCTGTAAAATTTCTGGGGCAATATAGTCAGGAGTGCCACAGAAAGTTGTGGTAGTGACACCATCAAAGATGCCTTCCTTGCACATGCCGAAGTCGGCCAGTTTGCAGTGGCCTTCAGCGTCTAAGAGAATGTTGTCCAGCTTCAAATCTCTATATACAACGCCGTTCCTGTGCAAAAACTGTAGTGCCAACGTTACTTCGGCAGCGTAGAATCTAAAACAAGCATTGTATTGAACAAGTTAAAAACACTTGGAATTGAGTTGGTGTTCGCCAGTGGTCGCGCTATTAGAACTCTGAATTCAAAAATCGATATCTCGAAATCCATTAGAAACAATTGATTGTACTTTTTTTTTCAAATAATTCAATTATCAATACCTGTCTTCACTGACATAAACTAAACATGTTGACTAAATAATTTGAAATGTTTTTGTGCTAAAATTCAACAGAAACTGTTTAATTAAAATAAAAAATAAAAATCTATCCAATTTATTATTTCAGTCAAATAACAATCTATAGTCTGTCCGACGAGAGGATTCATGACAGTAACAGTTATGTCAGTCATTTTAATTCATAGGGAAATTGTATTTTCTGTCAATTTTTGGATGTTGTCTGTCGAAATCTTCCCTGACTCGTTGAACAGACTATACTCAATGTGTTTATTTTTTGTCAATAATGACATGTATTGACTATTTCCATTCTAAATATCTTGAGAACGGTTGCTTGTAGCGATTTTTACCAAGAGGCATTTTTCACGTAAAAAGTCACGGAGATGTATATTTTTTCACTCGGTAGTTTTATACAGGTATAGACGAAAAGTTATTACTCTTCAAAACAGTCAAAACACATGTAGGTGGCGCTCCCTACAAATAAGAGTCATATTGACATCAAAATCAAATTTACCATGTCAAAAAACTCCCAGATATCAATTTTCATCTAAATGTTGACGTTACTTCAGAAATTATTTGGAAAAAATCGAAATAAAAATGAAACTCCTACACCCTATATCTCCAAAACTAGGCATTTTAGAACATACATTTATAATGACTTTTTTACTTATTTGAACCTCTCTAACAAACAAAAACCTCTCTAACCCACAAAAAAATATAAACTAAATATTCTGCAATCAATTTGAAAATAAACCAATCAAAAAGCCTCACCTAGCCCTGGGTTCATCAAACTTCTTAGCCCGCTGAATCTGGAACATCAAATCTCCTCCATTAACATACTCCATAACGAAGAACAGCCTGTCCTTTGTCTGGAAGCAAGAATGCAGGGCAGTGAGGAACGGGTGCTTGGCGGCCAGCGTCAAGATCCGCTTCTCTGTCATGGTGCAGTCGACGTCATCGTCCTGGATGATCACGTCCTTCTTCAAGACTTTGACGGCGTAGACCTCGTCGGGCGAGCCCTTCTTCTCGGCGAGCATCACCTTGCCGAAGCTGCCCTTGCCCAGGACCTTGATGAAGTGGAAGTCGGCCAGGCCGATGGAGTTCTTGCCGTTGGAGGATTTGTCTTGTGATTCTCCTTCTGGAAAAAGCGAACCGTTTTTTTGAACAAGTCACAACAAAGCCCAATTTACACTTGTCAAGAAGCAAGTTACTAAATTAAGTACTAAATTTAGTGACCTGCACGATGTAAACAACCCGATTTAGTACATGCGCAAGTAGCAAATTTAATAAACTGTTTAGTCAACTGAATAGAAACGATTCCTATTTAGTTGCGCAAGTGGTCATCCCGACCTCTGTTTTTGAGCAGCTAAAGCGCCGACTAAACAAGTGTAGACCGGCTAGTTTAGTCAAGTTCATTAGCAAAGGCTACTAGCGTTTATTTTATTTGAATTAACATAATGCACACATAATTTTTTTTATCGAAAAAAAATAACACCTACACACCAAACATAATTATAACAGAGTTTCATACATGTTTTAAACAGACATTTAAAACAGGTAATGGTATTTTAAACTGGTTTAAACATGACAGCATAAAACAAGCATTAACGTAGTATGGTGTTTGCTTCAATAGTTAAATACTTACCACTATTTGGCAACTTTTCTTCCATCAATTTTGACAAATTTTCATCTATACTGGGTTCATTTCCAGACCCCGAATTTTCACCACCATCTGAAGGTCCTCCATTGCCGGAACCCGGTACCAACACCTTACTTCTCCGAATTGGTGTTTTACTGTCAGGTGATACTCCTACAAGTCAATTAAAATCAAAATTCACTAAATAAAACTACACCAAAAACATTTATATTGGTATATTATTTCTATAACTCAACATCAATAAAATAAAGACATATATACATAAGTAATAATAAAAAAATCCTATTACAACACCTATTAAATTTACCTTTTTTGTTTACTATTTTTATAAAAACACTAAAATAATTCATAACTAGCCAAAAAAACAAGTAGGTAAGCCTCTAGAATGTTAACAAAAGCTCACTGGGCCAAATAAAAAAATGCCAATCAAAATAAAGGAGCTGGCAAAGCAATTTTAAACAAATAAACAAAAAATGTAAATAACTATACCTGTGTTTAAACTGAAAGTAGGTTAAAGTAACTTAAGCAATCACAACAAACCAGCTGTATAGTAAAAAAATACTCACGATAGATTACTAATTCTTTTTCTACACTTTTGGAGTATAATCGAAAAAAAAACGACGTCAAGGACGGCTAGGGAATGATAATCGATGATAATTTTAGCAGGTCAATCTCTAGAACGTTTCCAGGCACACAAATTTATTTTCCAAAAATATTTTTTTCTCGAATTTTTAAACTACACCATTTAAAAATCATTTTTACTGAATATAAAAATAAATTACAAACTTCTAAAGGTCAACTGACAGTAAGCGCCATTAAAAAATAAAAAAGAGTACGGGCCAAGAAAACGACGTCTAGAGCTTGACCTCGCGAAAATTATCATCAACTATCATTCCCCAGCCGCCTTTGACGCCGTTTTTTTTTCGATCGTACGGTAGTACGTAAAAGTAATTAAACATAAGTTTTGTTTGTTCATTGTTATTTGGATCCACCAACAATAAAAAAAAAGTATTTTTGCGAAACTAAAAATCAATAACTGCTAGTCAAATATACAGGGTGGTGCAAACTATATTTCGGAAACTTCGGCAGCGTATTCTGCAGATAAAAAGAAGCAAAAAAGTTCGTATAGATGGAACCTCCTGTATATTATTGCATATTTCGGTCATGCCAAAAAACTCCCAGACACCAATTTTCATCCAAATATTGACCTTACTTCAGAAATTATTTGGAAAAAATCGAAATAAAAATGAAACTTCTACACTCTGTATCTCCGAAACTAAGCCATTTTAGGACATATATATTCTAGTTAATTTTATTAGGTTAGCAATTTGCGGCCATGCAAGGGCCATGTTGTTGCAATGCCATCTCTAATAGAACAGCCCCGGGCGGGATTTATGACGTCACGCTAGTTAGATACTACCGATTAATAAATATGTTGTAGAATACAGGGAAAACATACATTCCTCGTATTTTTGGTTTGTATTTTAAAAATGATATAGTTTACATGAAATATACATAATATTAAATTAATAAACATAATATACAGGCTATAATGTTAGCCAAAACGTTTTTTTTAACCAAAAAAAAATATACATATTTTACAACATATCTATTAATCAGTAGTATCTAACTAGCGTGACGTCATAAATCTCGCTCCGAGGCTGTTTTATTAGAGACGGCATTGGTCTGATATTTAGAAATGTAAAAAGCTGATGATATTTTACTTTTGACAATTATGACATTTCGTGTTGATTTTTGCAAGACGAGGAAGAACTGTTACTTGTTTTATTATTTTCATTTTCTATTTCACGAAAGTATAAAGAGTTACCTATCTGATTCCTTCAGGCCTGTTCAGGCACTCAATTTAAAGAATATCAGTAACTTTTACAGAGGGATTTTATATTTGCCATGTTGTTAAAAAATAACGGTCAAAATTCAAAGTTATTCATTTTATAGACTATAATACCATTCAATCTATACTTAAAGCTAACAAACTTAAAGTAAACGTAAATCAAAAGCAAACAAAAAAAATGGACATACCAAGCACAACAGGCACAGACAAAGGCTCATCTTTACCTATAGCTGTCAATATTTCGGCCATTTGTTTTGTGTTGATGCCGCAGTTGTTGGCAACGTTCTTCTGGCATCGTTTGTGCACGTTCAGGGAGCACGCCTCGCACTGCAGGCCCTGCTTGATCAGTCCGTAGAGCAGTGAGCCGCAGTGATCGCAGAACGTGAACCGCTTGTAGTTGTGAACGACGAACCGGTGAGGGATGTTCACGTTGAACCCCGTACCTTGTATGGTAGGCTAGAGAAAAAAATAAATCCCATTAAAAACACAGAATGTAGAAAAATGTCAAGACTTGCAACGCGATTTTTCCAGTAGGTACAAAAAGTTGTGAGATCCCATGTAAAACTAACTCTATGGAGCTAAGTTTCTATGGAAGAATTTAACATCCTGTAGCTACGAAACAAAGCAGAATCGAACCTATGTTAATATGAAAAATGATCTTATTTTTACGTGAGCAATCTCCCCACGAGAGATGGCACATGTTTTTTGAAAACCCCTGTATAAAACATAGTAACTTTTACCGAAAAAATATTAAAACCTTGACACCCTGTACCAAACCTAACCAGAGACCAACCCAAATTCAAAAACAAACAATAGGAAAGGTTGAAATATCCAGGACAACGAGTCTAGTCAAATTTTAACGCAAGTCAAAAAATGTCAGACGAAGATTTGGAAGAGGAAAAAGCTGGAGAAGAGGGTGAAGGAAAGGAGAGATATCCTTATGGAGAGTATGAAGGGGAAAGAGACGATCAGCTGGATAGACATGGGTTTGGAAGTGCGTTGTTGCCCAATGGAGATATATACGAAGGAGAATATTACCATGGAAGAAGGCATGGAAAAGGTATGCATTCTGGAACTCCGAATTTTTGGAGATATATGTATTGTTTCAGTGAACTATCCAGACATGGATTTCTTTTAGAGTCTAGATAGTCTAAGAGCTAAAGACGTTTCCGACAAAGTATTTTTAAATTTATCTTTGATATATCTTTTACTATGCTCTCTGCAACAGCATGCGGGCCGTCAGCTCTCCCCCGTATGCTCTCTGCTGCATGCGGGCGTCTGCAGCATGTCTCGCTGCCGATACACGTTGCGTTCACTACTGCGCATCGGAAGAAGATAGTATATTTTTTTTTTGTTTAGTCCGTTAAATTCTAGTATTGAATATAAGACGAACAAGTCTCCATAGCGAAGCGCGCAGAGGTTACGCCTATGAAGCGAGGAGTCCGAGTTCGAGACCGGCTCAGGGTATAACTCTTTTATTTTATTTTCGTTTATATTCTGATAGTAAAGCATTAAATATTTGTTTTTTATCACCAGCTTATATTCTGGTGTCCGATATTTATTCAATACTAGAATTTAAAGAACTAAATAAAAAATATAGGATCTTCTTCCGATGCGCAGTAGTAATCGCAACGGGTATCGGCAGCCAGACGGCCAGCACGCTGTTCCAGAGAGCATAGTAAAAGACATGTCAAAAAGCCAGCTTTGTTAAAATACTTGTTATTCCGACGTTGCTAGCTCTCGTACTATAAAGCCTATTTTACCTTAAAATGAACTTCTTAGATTATTTGAAGAGTCTGATGTGGAAAAAAAAATCTAAAATATGTTATTTTATTTTCTATATGAAATACCATAACCGATAATGAAAGAATCATGGGCTTGTTTATACCCGTTTCTACCTTTCTACGATAGATAAATGAAACAAGTTTAGATTGGAAAGTGCCCATAAGGACAATGTAAACACTATTTGGCGCTATTCTTGCAACGGTCGCGACCCAAAGCTTTTGATAATTTCGGATCAGTTCGGCCTTTTCCGGAATTATGTCGCCAAATATTTATTCAAATTCGTTTTTATTTTCTTTTAATTTTATAAATAAAATACAGTGTGTTTCTTACAAAAAACTTTATTTGAGATTTTATAATTTTTGAAGATTCTGACTTTGACAAGAAAAAATTATTTCTGTTCTTGTTTACGGTTGTTCTTAGCAACCGCTATAGCAGCGCCAAATCCCGTACAACGTATGTACCCCTAAACAATTTAAGTTTTGGCAGCAAGCCAATCTAAACTTTTTTCTACCCGTTTCTACTGACAGTGGTGAAGGTTCAATTTTAACAAACATTGCGAATTGATACATGGTTGCCAAATCAGCTAGTCAATTATCCGGATTTTAAGACTAGTTATCCTTTTTTTGCGGAGAGAGATTCAAAAAAGTAATGATTTGCCGGTAATGTACAACGAACTAGTAGAGAGGTGGACCTTAAGTTAGGATAAAGTCTAGCTATAGCTCTAGCAATCAAACACGCTTGACATAGCCAGGGAAGATTTGGACAAACGACAAAAAATGTTGTAGAATTGTCCTATCATACAATTTTTAACTGTACGCTAAAGCAATCAAATTAATAAAGTCACAAGTAGGTATAGTGACGATTTGGGGTTATTCTAATTCATATTATTTATAATCAAATTTTGACATTGTTTTCATCCAATCACATAACTTTTTATGATTCTTCAATATATTTTTAGGCTTGTACTGTTTTAAAAATGGCGCTAGATACACTGGATTGTGGCGAAAAGGTCTAAAACATGGCCACGGAGAATTCTTGTATCCTGATGGGTCGAAATACATAGGGAATTGGAGAAAAGACTTGAAACATGGACAAGGTACTTATTATTACGTAAACGGAGACACTTACGAAGGATGCTGGTACAGAGGATTGAGACATGGTCTAGGTAACTACACTTACAAGTCGGTAAATGTCACCCACTATGGAACATGGAAAAATGGAAGAATGCAAGGTTCTGGAATACTAAACTATCCATACTATAGGTAATTTATCTCAAGAGCCTTATTTTTTTAAATCTATAGAGAAATCAATAAAAGTTGACTTGCACATCATCAAAAACATCGAAACTACAATATAATCGAAAAAAAAACAGCGCCAGCGATTGTGAATGAGTCTCACAAAAATTGAAGACTAAAATGTTATCCAATTAGAACTTTACATAGTAGTCGTGGCAACACTGCAACAACTATTCATTCGTCAAACATTTTGATGACGTGGGCGCAAATTTTTGATTTTACTATAATCATTTGTTTGGGACACCCTCTACATAATATACAGGGTAGTCCGAACTGTATGCCGGAAACCTCGGCAGCATATTCTGCAGATAAAAATAAGTAAAAGAGTTCGTATAAATATATGTCCTTAAATGCTTAGTGTCGGAGATACAGGGTGTAGAAGTTTTTTTTATTTCGATTTTTTTCAAATAATTTCTGAAGTAACGCCAATATTTGGATGAAAATTGGTGTCTGGGAGTTTTTTGACATGAAAAATTTGATTTTGATGTCAATATGACTCCTACTTGTAGAGGGCGTCACCTACATATTTTTTAACTGGTTTTAATAACTTTTCGTCCGTACCTGTATAAACCTACGGAGTAAAATATATACATTTAGGATGTTTTATACGTAAAAAAGGTCTCTTGGTAAAAATTGCTACGAGTAATGGTTCTCGAAATATTTGGAATCAAAATTATCAATAACTGTCATCATTGACATAAATTAAACATGTTGCCTAATTAGTTGTTAGACTGAAATCATAAATTTGAAATGTTTTGAACTGTTTTATCATCATTTTTACCAAGAGATGCCATTTTTTACGTAAAAAATCACGGAAATGTCCATTTTTTCACTCAGTAGTTTTATACAGGTACGGATGAAAAGTTATAACTCTTCAAACCAGTTAAAACACATGTAGGTGGCGCCCCTACAAATAGGAGTCATATTGACATCAAAATCAAATTTCTCATGTCAAAAAACTCCCAGACACCTATTTTCTTCCAAATATTGACGTTACTTTAGAAATTATTTGAAAAAAATCGAAATAAAAATGAAACTTCTACACCCTGTATCTCCGAAAGTAACTATTTTAGGACATATATTTATACGAACTTTTTTACTTATTTTTATCTGCAGAATATGCTGCTATACGACGAATACAGTTTGGAACACCCTGTATAAAAAAACTGTATATAAAACAAAGAATTAGACTGATAAATAACCACAGATAAATTAGAAGTACATTTTTTAAGTAGATATCATGGTAATTTCGAAAAGAATTTGCCTAAGGGAAAGGGATGCTTTACTTTTGATGGAAAATACATGCAGCATGGCTTCTACATTAATATTAGAGACCCAGCTTTCGATTATGTAGGAGCTGACGAATTAAAACTAGAAGAAACCAGTGAAGAAAAAGTAGAAGATTTGAGAACACCGCTAGGAATAGGTAATATCTTATAAACATATAAGTGTTCTTAAACCATTGTCTTAAAAAAGCTCCAATATAACTAACAAAATGTCTGTGTTCAATTAAATAATTGTTCAACGTTATACTATACAGGGTGAGTCTTAAATAAGTGCAAATTTTTAGTATAAGTTATATTTAGACTCCAGAAACACGTCAGATTTTTTCGCCAAAAAAAAAATAGAAAATTTGAGAAGATTTTTGGAACTTTTTTTAGTTTTTAGTTAAAAAACATAATTTATTGATAATATTTCAACATAGATAGCAGATTAAATTTACGAGAAAGAAAACCCAGAAAAGATCCAGTGGTTCTCAAAATTTAAGCAAAAAATATTTTTTTTAAATTTTCAAAGCAAAATAACTAGGTTATTTTGGATTTTTTTTATCGACCTTCAGCTGGCATATGACAAAGTTAAAAGGACGGAGATGTTTAGAGCATTAACAGAATTAGGGGTTAGCAAGAAATTGACAAAGATGATAAACCAATCCACCAATCCAACTCTTGACGCGCACCTACAACGTCCTGTTTCCGAATAGGGACGAATGGGATAAGCCGAGAAACGGCTTATTACTTGCGGAAATGTGTTGGTACACGGACGGATCCAAAAACGATAAAGGATCTGGCGCAGGAATTTACTGCAGCAGTTCAAAGACTGAGATCTACCACAGTCTTGGAAAACACACCACAATTTTCCAAGCTGAGCTATATGCGATTGAAACCTGTGTGCAACTGCTGGTAGAACAGCAATACACCGGGAAAACAATAAGCATATTTTCGGATAGTCAAGCCGCGTTGAAAGCACTTGAGGCAACGAAAAGCATGTCCAGGACGATTCTTCATTATAAGAAACTACTCAATATATTAGGAGATGGAAATAAAGTGTCGCTAATATGGATACCGGGACATGTCGGCCTAGAGGGAAATGAACGTGCTGATTCCCTCGCCAAAACTGGTGCAGGCTCGCCATTCGTGGGCCCAGAACCGACACTTAGCGTACCAAAAAATCTCGCAAGAGACAGGCTCTGTGAATGGGTTAGGGGTGCGACGTTTCGGGATTGGTATGACAGTCCCGGAATGGAACATGCCAAGACAATCCTAGCAGGGCCATCCAAACGTAGAACAGATGAACTCCTAAAGGCTGGTAGGAACGGAGCGCGTACGCTTACTGCAGTATACACGGGCCACTGCCGGCTGAAATCACACCTACAGAGGATGGGACTGGTGGAAGACGCCGAATGCCGACTCTGTATGGAAGATGACGAAACAATGAAGCACGTTATGTGTACCTGCCCCGCTGGGGGCAGGACCAGGTTTGAGGTGTTTGGCAAACCCACGCTAGACCTATCAGACCTAGAAGACATATCACCCTCGGACATAACGGCCTATGTTAAAAGGCTGGTTCTTGAGGGTGAACTTTAATGCTCTTTTTCTATTAAAGAGCTTGTAGAAACTGAGCCAAAAAAGGCCCTCGGCGCCTCAGTGGAGGGTCCCACCTGGGACCCACTCTTAGTAAAATACGAAAATACGAAGATGATAAAAAAATTGACACTTCAAGAGACAGTAAATGAAGTCAAAGCAAACATGAAAACAACGGAAAAATTTATAATCAGGGACGGATTAAGACAAGATGATCCACTATCTCCAGTACTGTTTAGTGTAGTATTAGAAAAAGTTATAAAAGATGCGGGAATCAACAGAGAATCAAAAAGACACCAATGCTTAGCCTTTGCAGATGATTTAGTTATCTTAGCCAGAGATCGGAAAGAGCTGATATCGGTGACCAAAAGACTAGAAAATCAAGCGCAAAAAGTAGGCTTAGTGTTTACTGAGAAGAAAACGAAATTTATGGTGTGGTGAGACAGGGATTTTGAGAAGGGAAGATGTCTACAAATAGATTCTGAGGGAAGGAAACGATACAAGTTTGAGGAAGTAGATACATTCACATATCTAGGAGCCGTATTTCTAAGAAAACCAAATGTAACTCAAGAAATTATTGCAAGAATAATGGCAGGAAATAGATGTGTTAGCACACTACAGGAAATTACTAAGAGCAAGAACATCTCTAGAAGTTTAAAAATCAGAATGCACCAAACAATGATACGACCAATAGCGCTGTATGCATGTGAAACGTGAACGTTCAATGCAACGGAAAGTTCGAGGCTAGAGATTTGGGAAAGAAAAATCCTGAGGAAGATTTTTGGAGGAAAGAAGATAGACAACATATGGACCAGAAGAACAAATGAAGAATTAAAGCAACTATATCGGGTACCGATTATAAAGGGAGTAGCAAGAGCACAAAGACTGAGATGGCTGGGACATATTGAAAGAATGGCTTGAAGTAGGAATTGCTAGTATGATAATGAAACGTGAAATAGATGAAAAGAGAAGGAGGGGTAGACCGAGAATCAGATGGAAAAAGGATGTTGAAGAGGACTTGAGAAGGATAAGAGTGGACGGGTGGAGAATAAAGGCGAAAGACAGAAACAAATGGAGAAAGATAACCAATCAAACCATGAGCCTTTTAGGCTTTTAGGGCTATTATATATATATTTTGGATTTATTTGAAAAACGGTAAAGAGAAAATGTGTTTCTTTTATCGAAATCTACCAGCACTGAAAGTATTTGCACTTATTTAAGCCTCGCCTTGTATATAAATCAATATGTATTCATTTATCATAACATCCATTTCAAGGCAATCATTTTTGTTCTTAGTACCAATATGGAGAGCCAGGGAAATAACCGAGTACAAAACAGAACTTTTACCGCCAGAACCAACAGCGTTGATGGTAAAAGACTCTGAAGATTCCCTCCTAGATATCATAGAATATCTTCAGCAACAATATGACGAAGCCAAGCCCTCGGATGAAGAGGAACATCGTACCACACCTTCACCTGTACCTCAAGACTTAATTGTTGATATTGCTGGACTAGATTTAGATAACCTTTAAGCCTATGCGTTGTTGTATATCGTTCAAATAATTAAAGTTTCAGTTGTTTAGAAGCTTTTTATTAATTTAAAATGTTCGGTTAAGTGCTGTTAAGGAGGTGGGGAAGTTGCACGCAAGAGTTTTGATTGCATTGGTTACAACTTCCATGCGGAGGGTGTTAATCTTTTATTATTATATCAAAAAATATCAGAAAAAGACACCCTCCGCATGGAAGTCGTAGCCAATGCAATCAAAACTCTTTCGTGCAACTTCGTGGTTATAAATATAACAAAAAAAAAATTAACCCCCTCCGCATAGAAGTTGAAACCAATGCAATGAGAACTCTTCCGCGTAACTTTGTGGATATAGGTAGGTATATTTAATTATTGTCGATCTCATAATAGGTAATTTATTTAAAATCCCTAATAACCCGAAAAAATAGAAGATATGGCAACGTTGTATATTTTCAAATTTCTTGATTAGGTCTAGAATATATTTGTCTCTCTCATTACACAGGAGAGAGAAAGAAGGATATATCAAATGTCAAACTTCCACCTGGTCTGAATTTTCTTTGTTATTTTGTTAAGAAAAGTGTTTTTCAGTAAAATTTTGGACATTTTTCTATCCCCAATCAAGTGTGGCTTTTAGATAAACTATAATATAATGAAAAAATAGTAAAATTATTACTTTAGAGGGCCGAAATAAAGAAAAATTCAATGTTGAAATAATTTTCCGTTTTTTTGAAAAACGGTAAGAAACCGCCAAGAAAAAAGTTCAGATTCGTAATCTACGACCTCAAAATAGTGTGTATACCAATTTTGGTGAAAATCGGACGATTTCCAGTTTTCCCAATAATTACCTTAATTTCTTATTGATAAACCTACCTCTTCTTTCATGCCTGGACATTTTGTCAGTACTAGTCGATGACATCTTTTATGAACAACGCAGGTGCAGACTGTAAAACAACGTAATTTTAATATTATTATAAATAAAAATCCTCGATTATATTAACTTAACGAAAATATGTTACGCCTAACACCAAAAGTGGAAAAATTACTGTGTTAAAGCATAATAAAAAAAATGACATTTACAAAGGTTATTGAAGCGTCTGAAAATATATAGAGAAGCATGACATATAATACAGTTTAGTAAGAATTCAGTGATATATGACCTTGAAATTAAAACTCTAAAATTTCTCTCAAACCATGACGTTGTTTTTTAAGTATGAAATTTTTTATTTAGTTTCAATGTCACATGTGGTATATTTGTGATTTTTAATTATATTTTTTTGAAGTAATAGTGAATAATAATTGCGAAAAAATAAATAAATAAATGTGATAAAAGTAACTTACAAAACCTAAAAAAGCTAAAAGAGCCATGCCAGTGTATATGGTGCTGCAAAAAAAAAATAAAAATAAAACATTTATAAAAAATATCAATTTTGTTAAAAATGGCGTGTGTACGTATCTACAGGGTGTCCCAACATTCCGTGGACATAGAATTACTAAAAAAGAAACACAGATTACCTCTAGACAAAGACTTTCTTTAAAAAAAAAATTAAAAAAATAAAAAAAATAAACATAAAATTTAAATTAATTAACCAATAGGTTTATTTTTTATTGTTGCCCTCTAACGGACAATTGAAGCGCTTTTGTATAGACCCCAATATTCTGACCCCAAAAATACATAGTAGATCTTTGTCCACGGAATATTGGGACACCCTGTATAAGTATATTGATAAACAACCACCATGCAAGTGTAAGAAGGACCTTAACCAAAAGTGGCAAAAAATAAAGAAAATGTGTGACTAAGTAGTTGTTTTCGTTAAACTGTAACCAATATACGTACTATACAAAACTCTATTAAGTTCAAAGCCTGTGTGATTGTAGTTTTTCTATAATACGGTATATTGGTTAGATAAAGAATAAATATATAAGCTTGAAGCTGCTTAAATACGTTTATATACATGCTGTAAATCAGATCGTACCTTGACATTGATAGCCTTGCTTGCCCAAACCCCTGAAAAAATGAAACCACCAAGTTAGACAACCCAGAGTGCAGAATGCTCGTAACTTGTCATATGTAAACATAAACAGCCATAAAGTCAGAGAAATACGTAAACACAGACACTATAAATCAGATTAAAAAAATTATCTATACAATTCCATTGCTCTGAAATACTATAATTACAATATAATAATAATTATACTCCTGCACCTAGTACCAACAAGTCTTTAAGAACACCTCTATGTTTAATTATTTCTCTGAGACAAAAATCGCTCTGAAATAAGTTAATGTAAATATTTAGCAATGTGCAGTTCTTCTGAATTCCTTGAGACATCATAATTTGTCAGATAATGTCAAAATAAGGCTGTCTACCCCTCAAACCAAGATTTTCCTAAATATTTTTATTTTTATGATTTGCAATGAATTATACAATAAGATGTGCTGATAAAAAACAGACACAATTAAATAGTCCAATTTTAAAGAAATCCTCTTTTTCTCCTGTTTATTATACACTGTAAACGCATTATTTTTTTATTTACTAATATAAAAGTAGACACAGATTATAAATTTATTGCAAAATGTTATGCTAAATTTTCCTTCTCCAAAATAAAAAAAATAAGTTTTCTGGAGAACACGCTGTATAATTTTAATCCTAAATATCTACAGGTAGGTTAAGCACAATGTGAACACATAAAAATACACAAAAGCCATCGAAAAACTCACCAAATAAACTCTTTGCAGTGTGAACAGAAGGTGGGCTGTCTTAAAAAGGTGGCCATGAATTTGTGTCCGTTAACTTGGTGGACGCGCCGACGCATAGCGCCGCGACGCCTGTTGAAGCCCTGGCGCTCCTTGAATTCCCTTGGTTTAACCCCATATTCTGGAAAAAAATCATAAATTCTCCATGTCTAAGGGTAAAAAAAATGATATCGAGATTTCTACGGACCAGTTTGGACGTGTCCTATGAGGGGCGGGGCAAAGATCGACGAATTAAAGAGACAGAAAGAGGCTGACACGCCCATTAGGTCACGCCCTCATAGGGACACTTCCAAATTAGGCTAGAGGTTCAAATGTTTTTAATTATGTATAATATACAGGGTGTGATTTATAAAATAAACAAAAAACGGGTATTTTACTTTAACAAGTTGTGTAACTTACCCTTTGATGTATGTTTCAAATCTATTTTTACATGCAGACGTCCTTTAGGCTCTAAGTTAACCTGAAATAGTAATAATTAATAATTGAGAAACCACATACATAAATACCATTAAAATACATTTGATGCTTTAAAAATTATACTTCATTTAACAAACTTTGTTTAAATAAAGGAGCAAACATCTGAAACTGATAAGAATTTATAAACATTCCAAACCCATAAAAACAAATTAGGTACATATACCGTATGATCGAAAAAAACAACGGCGTCAGAGATGGCTATGAAACGAAGATCGCTGTCATTTTATATGGGAAATGTCATCGATTGTCATTTTCCAGCCAACAGGACGCCGTTTTTTTTCCGATCAAACGGTATTTTAAATATCGTAAATCAAATACCATAAAATAACTTATGTACAGGGTGGGTAAAATTCGATGCTTTTAAATGGAAACACCCTTTTCTATAGGAGATAGACAAAAACTAGTATCGGTGTCTGGAGCTCAATTTTTGTCAAAAACATGATGGTGAAAACCGCACATCAATATCTGTTACCGTTTCGGAGTTACGGGGTGTTTTTCAAAACTATGCATTTTAAACAAATCGCTGTAACTTTTTTGCTATGGAAAATTTTGTATTTTTATGAAAACATTTCCAAAGCACCTTTTTACGTAGAATTTAATGGTTTAAGTATAATTTTTTTAAAATTAATAATTTAAGAGTTATCAACAGAAAAATTGATTTTTTATTTGGGACACCCTATATATTTTTAATTAACTGAAAAGAATTTAAAATTACCTTTCCAAAAATATAGTACACTTTACAGGAAAAATCATGTAATTAGATTTTTGAAAATATTTAATAGGTACTTAAGTAGAGGTTTTTTGGATATTTTCGAGGATATTTTTAAAATATTTTAAAAACCAACAAAACCAGAAACATTATAGGTAATGTTACTTATTATTTCTAAAAAAAATATTTGAAACCCATCAAAACCAAATTATTTTTAAATTACGTAGTTGAACAGGTGATTAAAATTGCTTGTATAGATATAAACAAAATTTAAATATATTTTCTCTGAAAATAAATAAATGATCAGGATTCCCTATTGAACTAACAAAAGTGTCAGTGGTGAAACATTTCAAAAATTTCTCTGTTTACAAATTTGCAATCTAAATTCTCTAGGTACAACGTGAGAAATATAAAATAACACGCGACCGGTGCTATCCCCAAGTCTCTTCCTATATTTGTTCAACTGTACCTGTCAATTTTGTCGTAGCTACCCTACTGTTGCCAAGAATCATCCTGATACATTATTTTACATAAACAGAAAAAACTCCTATACTGTAAAGCTAAATACTCTTTTAATTTTTGACAAATTCTTACTAAAAATATAATGAATAATTCGGGAGAAATCAGGTGACTGTAAAATAATTAAAATAATTTTCACTATTCCAAACGAATCATCTAAATCAACAAGTAACTAAAATGTATCTGAAACCTACCTATGTATAAGAAAATTATTTAAATTTCTTATTTTTATACTTAAAAAAAGCTTCTGCAAATGACTGGTATGTGTAGGCTCAAACTCCTATATATATATATAAATGTGTAGAAATATGTTTGATGGAGAGAACTAACTCACTCAGAAGGCAGTTTAACTAAAGAAATATTAATAAGTAAATTAAATAAACATTGAAATCTCATAGCAAATACCTATGTATTCAAAACTGAAGAAATTATAGTTACCTACCTACCTTATTTTCTAAAAAAGCTTTTAAAAATTACTTGTAAATGCCAATTTCCCTCAAAAGTTAGCAATATTTTTTCAACTGACACAAGAAAAAAACATTCGAAGAACATGTATTTGTTTACACTATCGAAATCTAAACTTCTCTACCTGTCAAACACTGATTGCTGTTGCCAAGGATCACCTGATCCAGATTTAACAAAAAATACCCACTTTGTATTGATTTCTCGCCACCAAACAACAATATTCCTTAACTTTTTCGCAAATTACGCCCGCTACGACCTTAAATAAACTCATCCAAACACTCTGGACGATGTTGAGACTGTACAAAGCCATGCCAATCATGGTGGAGTAGGTTTAAATGTTGTATATAGGGGTTTCAAGCACTCACCCAGAAATCGGTTTCATCCTTTTCCCTGGCTAGTAACTCCTCGAACGGAATCGTACAATTAGCGACGAAAACATCGGGAGGAATTGCCGCGTCGTGGAACACGGTGAGCGTGAGCGTTTTGCCATTTTCCGCGCTGTGCTCGAACACTTCGTTCCATACGGGGTCGAATGTTTTCGGTTTGGTGGTACTTTGGGCGAACTGGGCATCGTCCACATCGATGGTCACGTACGGATCGAGCAGCTGTTCGTCCGCCTTGCCGAAAGCGTGCCTCTTGGAGCAGTCGGTGGGCCGCAGGCCTTGGGCCTCGCATATTTTCACTCGGACGGTGCCCGTGAACATGGCCGCCGCGGTTTGCACCCGCACACGCACTCTCGATCGCGTTCGTCCTCGCTAGCACGCACAATTTATTAGCTACATAGGTGGATCGGGGATGGACCGTTGCTGGAACAGAGCGCGACGGATAAAAATCCAGAAAATAGATCGGGAGAAGCGGCAGCAGCAGCTCGACGTCGCTTGACAGCCATGAAGGTCGCGCGCTGACGATCGCGGCCGCGCACGGTATGCGTCGCGCCGCCCTCCCCTACGCTCCGACGGGATCCGTCCTTGTGCGGGGTTGCCGGACTGTTTTTTGAAAAATCCTATTTCTTTCTGATGCGTCTTTTTTCCTTTTTTTATTCCAAATAAATGTCTTTTAAATATACCAAATAAAATACCATGTATTGATACAACTTTTACAGAAGAACTGAAGACTAATTGTTAGCAGTTAAGTTTAGAGATAAACAAATTTGCCTAACGAACAAAACATGCTTACGTTTCGGAAAGTTTATCTCTTTCCGTCGTCGGAAGCAAAAAAAATACAAAGAAAAAAACTACCTATTTAAAATATTTAAACGCAACTATTCGAGAACACTTTAGTTCTTTTTTAAACAGATACGTCTACAAAAACCCTATATCCCAAAAAGCTTTAAACTTTCTGTAGGTATGATTATTTTTAAATTGTTTTTAATTTTTACGTATGTTATGTTTATTTATGTCATGTTCTTTAAAATCAAAGAAGCGATTGCCATACATTACTAACATCTACAGATGCATGAGCAATACATTTATTTTTATTAGGTTGTATTAAAAAATCTCTTTTATTATTCATTCTGAGGCTACGTTTTTTTTTTTCATTTATTTTTTTCTTTTATTCTTGCTATCTTAAATCATAATATATGTCAGCAAAACTTTTATACGAAATCATGACACTTAAGATTCGCCATTTATTAAATGATCTAATTAGCTTTCTTTAGATCAGCGACTTTTTGCCGAGACCCGACAACTATGGCGTCGTGCTCTGGACGCCGCCGTCGTGACACACATTTCGGAAATGGGAACGCTGGTTGCTTACCCTTGGTGTCTAGGTGGCTCTGGATTCCAAGTCAAAGCATTGTCAAAGCAATCGTTAATGTTTTTGTTCAATTTCTATCGCGCATCTCTAAACATACCTAGTTCTGACTTGAATTTGAATAAATATCTACAGTTACTGTTTAATTTCTCGTTTGGTTTTAATATTTTAATCGCCTAATCTAAAATAAGTTCCAAATAAACAATTACCGTACGATGGGATAAGATTTTATTAAAAAAATATTATCCAGAAAATCCAGCTTTCTGTCAGTGTCGCCAATAGAATAGTTCAAAAATTTATCGTGTACTAAAATAAAAAATATGTATTTGACTTTTACATATTATTATATGAGAAAATAATAAATTTATTAAAGTATTCAGTACCAAAATTATAATTTCTTTACAGTATGTAATAATTTTATATCTTTTTATAATTTTAGAACGTAGATTAACATCTTGGCAACAGTGTGCAATCGAAACCAAAATTTATTTTTCTCTGGTTTGCAACATTGACAATGATTGACATGATTGTATTTGTGATTGTATTTTGTCTATGGATTATTGGATTGTATTGATTGACGTAACTCCAACTTAACCTAAGATTTTTGGTTTAAAAAATGTCTATTATAAAACTTTAGCTAATAATGGTTTATTTAAAATATATAAACGGTGTCCTTTATAGACGATTCTCTTCTGCTGTCAAACCTTTGAAGAAAGACATAATTGTATCAGGAAATCCCTACATTACAGACGATTACACAAATGTAACCGATCGTATTCTATCACACGTAGGAAAAAACTTACATTTGCAACAGTATCACCCCCTAAATCTAGTCTATCAACGTATAGTAAACTATTTTTACCAATCCTTCCTGAATGCCAGAAGAAACCCCATTTTTTCAGTGTATGACAACCTTGCACCAGTAGTTAGTGTAAATCAAAACTTTGATAGTCTGTTAATACCAACAGATCATGTTTCTAGATCAAAAAGCGACTGTTATTACGTGAACAGAAATTATCTTTTAAGGGCCCATATGACAGCACACCAATCTGAGCTATTAACAGCAGGATTAAACAATTTTTTGATGGTTGGTGATGTTTACAGGAGAGATGAAATCGATCGAACTCACTATCCAGTTTTCCATCAAGTTGACGCTGTTAGATTGAAAACTAGGGATGAAATATTCCCGAACGATAATAAATTACAAATCTTTGAAAAGGATGGTAATACAGAGTCTTTTGGCGGTCAGGAAAAACAATCTTGTCATACATTAGAAGCAGTTAAACTTATGGAGCATGAGCTGAAAACAACTTTAGAGGGACTAGCCAGTCATTTGTTTGGAAATGTAAAATTCCGATGGGTTGATACGTATTTTCCTTTCACACAACCCTCATGGGAGCTGGAAGTTTTCTATGAAAACGAATGGTTAGAAGTGTTAGGCTGTGGCATAATGCGTCAGCCGATTCTCACAAACTCTGGAGTTAAAGACCGCATTGGATGGGCATTTGGATTAGGTTTAGAGCGTGTTGCAATGTGTTTATATAAAATAACCGATATCCGTACATTTTGGTCGCAAGACTCAGGATTTTTGAGTCAGTTCAAAACAAATGACATTAACAAAACTATTATTTACAAACCGATCAGCCAGTATCCTCCCTGTAAGTGTGATGTGAGTTTTTGGTTGCCAGAAAACGCAGAATACTCTAGTAATGACTTTTATGACATTGTGAGAAGTGTAGGTGGTGAAATAGTCGAGCAAGTACAGCTTATTGATAATTTTACACATCCAAAGACAAAAAAAACTAGTCACTGTTACCGGATAGTTTATAGACATATGGAAAAGACTTTGATACAAGAGGAAGTGAATAAAGTGCATCAAAAAATAGCCGATGCGGCGTCTTTGAATTTGGGTGTTACATTAAGGCAATAAAGAATTTTTATCATATATAGAGTTTTTTATATTTATTGTGTTACAACTTAATACAAGAAGGCTTATTAGAAGTGACAGAACATCATTAAAGTCAAAAATATTGATCAAACAATTTTATTGATCCAAAAACTTCATTATTCACTAAACATATTGCAACTCTCTATAGTTTAATTATGTCTAATTTTAAAAAAGAGTTAGATAAACTCTTTAACGATCTGAAATCAGATTTAGATGCTGATAAAAAGTACTGGCTGAGAAATGATGCAAAACTGAGAGCAGTGATTACTTCTAAATCTTATGATGAATTTCGGTAAGGCTGGATTTTTTTTTAATTATTTGAATAACATTAATAATATGTTGATAATGCAGAGATATTGTCGATGCAGCACATCTAAAGGGGTTATCAAAAAAAGATTGTAAAAACAAACCTCACACTAGCTGGAATAAGATGGCTCAATAATAACATAATTCAAAAAACAATATTGTGAAAAATAAAACTTCGTTTAAAAAAAGATTGTATATTTTCTAACCCATTCACCTTATAAACTATTTAAACTGTTGATTTACCTTTGGAGTATAACAGAGTCAACAAAGTTATTATATATAACAACCATATAGTATACGAAATAAAATTGTTAAATGCATTATGGTACTTTTTAGAAAAGTAATATTAAGATATTTTTAAAAAAATGGCTTAGCTTATTTGCATACGATATTTTACTTCCTGGGCTGTTGAATGATGTGTCCAGCGGGTTTGTTAGAATGGGAGACTGGAGGCTTTTCCTTATGGAAACTTTGAACAGCCTCAGGAGTGAAATCAGCGTGACCTTTTACAACAGCACCCGATACTGTGGTTGTTTTTGGTGGGCTTCCAGAAACAGTAATTCCAGTGGTATCTTCAGCAATTCCTCCGGAATCTCTTCTAGTTTTATGCTGGATGATTCTCATTCCTCCGGCTTTAACTATAACACAAAAAAACAATCAAATAAAAAAGGTACGTGGGAGGTATTTTATATTAACCGGCTGGGGGATGTCCAGCTTTTAAAACACACTCCTCTTTAGGACTAGACATCTTTAAGCGATGAGAATAGAGTGGCTAAATCTTTAAACAAATATAACAATATGGAAAGAATAACACTCAACGCATGTATTAAAGGAGGACTTAGGAAAAATTTCCGTAAAATTGTAAATAAAAACACGTAGACCATTCAATGTTGCCAATAGTTTAATTAATTCAGAGATAAGAAAAAATAAAAAAGATAAGCCGAAAATAATATTTAATTTATGACTTTCTATTCATTATCTGCTTTTATAATGAATTTTAGTCAATTAAAAAAGGGTTTTATAATTTTTAAGTTTATTTGAAATATAAATATATATTTTGATTTTTATTCTATTGGTGAAACTACATTTCTTTGACAAGTAACCAGAGATATAGCTTTACATTCTCCCTCCCTCTATATCTCTGATATAGATATATCTTTTTTATTTTTCTCCTATTGGGAACACTACATTTAATTGACAAGAAACATGAACTGACATTGACATTGACAAATAGTGTAGAGTTGTCAAGATTTTATGAAAATTTCATCGGTAAACACGATTTTTTGAACTTTTCATATGGGGACAGTTTAACTGAAAATTAATTAAAGAAAATATGGTTTTATTAGAAAATGATGCCGTAAGTCAAGGAACTTTTCATTTAACCATTTCATGTTGTGTAATTTTTTCTTTTTTAGTTTCTTTCAGAACTGACAAAGCTGTTTCAAAAAGCACGACTCGATGGGTCAGTTACCATGACTTTTAAGCGATGTAAGCCCTAAATTTACTTGGTTTTAATTTAAATTATTCAAAACACTTCTATTTTTCAGACGATGGTCATGATAGACCTAACCCTAGAGAAGGAAAACCTCCTTTGCCAGAACCTTCAGAACACCTGTGTTTGATACGAGCCAAGTTTAGATCTAAGAAAATAGCGACTGTAGTTCATCAAAAGGACGTGAACAAGTTCCAAGTGGCCTACAGTAGTTTACTGAAAGGAAATCTCGATGGACTTAAAAAAGTGAAAAAACCTAAAACAAAAACAAAGGTTGAATCTTAAATGAATTGTTTGTCTGTACATAGATAATTATTCGGACTTTTTTTTATAATTTCAAGTGAGGTTTTAATGTTGACAAGGTATATGGGATTAAACGTTAGGTTGCCAATATGAAACCTTTTAAAATATATTTATTATATAGGCAATATTATATATTTAAAAGTATGATAATGGTTTGATATTGGTAATTTAACCAGAAAACAGGTAAAATATGAGTGTTAGGTAATAATGTTGGTAAGAAATATGCTTAAATGACTGCCTGTTTATAATGTTTTTATTAGATTAAGCGAAATTACATTATTTTTATTTTCCACTCAGAAAAATTACAGTCTCAATTTTTGTACAGTATTTGTTTACAAATAAACGGACTTATATAATTAATATTGTCTTTTATTTATTCTCTTGAAATTTTGTTTGAAAATATTTTATTTTGAAAAAGATCACAAGAAATATGTTCCTAAAATTTTTCCTGTTTTCTTGACGTTATGGTGAATGCGCCTATAAAAATTAGATTGTTAAAATAATAAAATAAAAAAATTCTTAAAATGATCCTGTTTTCTTGACTTTATGGTGAATGCGCCTATAAAAATTAGATTGTTGAAATAATAAAATAAATATTAAGAACGTTAGACTTTTTACATAATAGGTATTATAAAAACATATGAAATAAAGCCATGTTGTATATGATATAAATATTATAACAAAATAGATTATTGAAATTGATATGATTTGTTAGAAATATTATTTAATTTAACAAACAAAGTGTAAAAATATTGTTTTTTCCATAGCAACTGTTAAAATTTCTTTATATCTATAAAAAATAGTAGATAAAATAGTACTTTAACCGCAAGGGTTTTAATGATATTTTAACAGCAAGGATAGGTTAAAAACTTTATTTTTTCTCGCACGTTTTTTAACTGCTTCCATTTTTGATAATTTTTGTATTCCTTTTCATAAGTTAGTTATTCGGGATTTAAATGGAAGGAGTTTGCATATGGCGTTTGTCGCCTCAGCCTGAATATCTGTTGGTAATTTACTTATTTCGTTTTGAGCAATTTCTGGCTCTAATTCAAACAGCAATCGACATGAAAGAGAATTAAAAAATATTGACTCAAAACTGACAACTAAAGAGACAGCTTCATTTATTTGTCAAATTACATAGAAACCAACGCCAACCCAGCACAATATTTTTTCTACTCGTAATAAATTCCTTGAAATAATAATTTCTGAATATTTTTTCAAACGTAACTCGCTATGGAAAAAAATATTGTTTTATACACGACGATAAAATTGCATTATCGTCTCCCTAAAAATAACTATTATTCCAGCATTTTATCCACAAAAGAATGCTTAAACGCTAGAACGTAGTTTACATTTCTTAAGTGGATGAAATGTCAAACACAGCCCCTTGTCCGTCTACCTTGCATGGATTAGCATTATACTCCTTCAAAGATTGATACAAACACAAGCTCGACAAATGTCAAATTTGGACCTTATGTGTCATAACAACTTATTGCAAAAAATAAATAAAAATCCTAATATCAGTAACCATATTTATTTAATAATATTATTACAGAATAAAATTATAGACTAAAAGAAAAATAAAAATTACAGAGTTTTTTTAAATAATTCAAAGACAAAGTTCTTATACTATATCATTCAAAAATATATCAAACACTATCAAGATCATCGTTTAAATCATCTGAACAGACGGCGCGTTGTAGTCAAAATATGGACAAACCAATCTATAGTGATCTTTAACTTTGCCCTGTGTGAATAAGCAATCGTTGGCACAGTTTAGGAGAACTTGACCCTTGAAACAGGTGTCACAGGCTAGGATACATTCGTCGATAGGGTCCAGAACTGGTAGTGCTGACGCTTTGGTAGAGACAGCTATGAGGAATGCTGTTACCAAGATGATATGCCACCTGGAAACTGTAAAAAGAAACGTTATTAGAGGTTTTACGTCCAGAAAAACTTGTTTATTATTGACATTTTGAGAAAAATGCATTCTTCGTAAAAAAATTTGTTTGTTCTAAAATGATTATTCCGTTTTTACTTTTCCAAATTTTTATACCTCTTTAGAGACAATAAAAAAAAACATGAAAATATAGCTGAATTCTTTTCCCAGTCCAAAATTAAAACGCGTTTCTATGGTAATATAATTTTGTTTTCATTCTTTGACAGAATTTTAATTAATGTCATATTTTTTGCTGCTATAAGGTGGCTACACACACTATTGCAAGCATGACAAGCATGCGTGAACAATCTTTTTGTACAAGCAAACTGTAGCGTCTGTAGGGAAAATTTGCGCAAGCATTTTAATTGTGCAAGCCGCTTGATGATTGATTGAATTTGAATCATGCAAGCTTGGACAAGCCATGCTTGCACAAGCGAAACGGTACGTGTATACCACATATATTCAGCTGGTACAAACAATTATCCGTTATCGTAAATGACCTGTACGTCGCGTCGCCATCATGTCTAGCGATGTGAAAAGGAGCAATCGAGGATTATTGGAAGAAATCAGCCGTGTTTTTGGTGAATTAAATCGCCAGAATTTTATGATAGGGTGAAGAAGGATGCAGCATACAAAATTTTACTTAATAAGTATAGATTAATTGACAGCCAAGCCGATAAGGATGCCGTTATTAAAAAGATAAATGCCTTCAGGATTCCCAATTCTTTTTCGCGGACTTCCTTCATCTTTTTCTTAAACTGAAGCTTGTTCAAGCATGCATGTACCGTGTGGCGGCGAAGGTAAATTATGCATGCTTGTACAAAAAGATTGTTCATGCATGCTTGTCAAGCTTGCAGTCCTGTGTGTAGCCACCTTTAAAGATAATAGTTATCGCAAAATGTTAACAACAGGTTAACAACAGCAAAAAATATGATATTAATCAAATTTAATAATAACCATCTATCAAAGAATGAAATATAAATTATATTACAATAGAAACGCCGTTTGATTTTTAGGAGTAGAAAAAATTCAACCGTATTTGCAAGTTTTTTGTAATTTTCTCTAAAACGAAATGGAAATTTGGAAAAGTACAATCGATAGTTACCATTTTAGAACAAGCAATAATTTTTTAAAAAGAATGCATTTTTCTGAAAAAGTCAATAATAAACAAGTTTTTCCTCTTGTAAAAACCAATTCCTCTTGTAAAAACAATCTTGGACAATCCGGGGATGTCGGAGACACCCTGTACACAGTATGTACTGTATACAGTATGTACTGCATACAGTAGCTTTTTTAGTTTTCCTGTTATTACCGATTCTGAACCGTCCTAGAACTCTGCAGCGATTGCGCAAATGAAATAATGTCTTCATATTTCCTTCTGCGCATACGCATCACAGTTCTAGGACGGTTCAGAATCGGTAATAACAGGAAAACGAAAAAGCTAGTATGTACTGTATACAGGGTGTCTCATAAATAAATGCAAGTATTTTAAGTGGGGGTATACTTAGTCGTTAGATTTCTTCTTTGAGATATCTCTTTATTCAAAGATTTGTCACTGGAATATTTGTTTTAGGTTTACTATTGATTACCTAATATATTCTTTAGTAAAGACGTTAATATGGTTAGCCAAATACTAGTTAATTGTATGCAATGTGCTTACATTTCTAAGACGAACATTAAATTAAAATAATAAAAAAATCATAATGCTCTTTTAAAATATACGTTCTCTTTATTTGTCCAAATTTGCCATAACTTACGTAATTACGATTCGCACTTATTGATAATAAAAAAATGTTATTTGCCACATATTAAAATTCCTCTAAACTTACGTAACATAAATTTTAAGATCACGACTAGAAGTTCCGTTCAGAAAAACAAATTATTGATTTTTTTTACGAGCTCAATCACAATAAATAAAGTTCGTGAAACTGAAGTCAATATTTTTTTTATTTTGTTAATCTTTTTATTGAAAAATACTACAATATCTTATACAAAGATCATTTTATAAAAACAAAAAAACTCTTTTTACTTTACTGTATTTAATTTGACTTTTTCAACCACCAAAAAAAATATTTCCTTGCATAATATTGCGGTGAATAAAAGCCTTTCTTTACCAAGTAATCGATACATATATCACACCTGTATCAAGCGTATATAACGATACACATTCTGCATTGCCTGATAACTCGAAATCTGAAGCAGGCGAAAACAGAAGGCTTAGAGAACGAGGATGGAGAGGACGCGGACAGGTGCTCAAAGCTCGAGCACAATGAAACCCATCAATCCCGCTTTGCGACTGGGGGGAAATACCTCCCACTACCCCCTATCACGAATCGGCTTTACATATATACACGGTGTTTTTACTATTATAAATATTTTATATGATAATAATATAAACATAATACACTGAAAATTTTAAAAGAAACAAATGTAAAAAGTGTGTTCACACAAATAATGTCCTTGCTGCTTTTCTTACTATGTTTATCATTATCATAATCATTTACAGCTTATTCAAACATTTCCAATTATGGTCTAACCTTCCTGATAATATTTTTTGTAATTGGACCCATTGCTGTCTATTGTTGGCTATGCAATGGTCCAATTTGTCACTGCTAATTTCCGAATATCATGATCCCATCTTAGGTGCTGTCATTTTTGTGGTCCATATATTGTACGTCCTTCTTGCTAGGTGTTCTGCCTATTGCCACTTGAGAGATTTGATTCTGTGAATGACATCCATTACCTGGTCCTTTTGTCGTATCCACTTTATTCTTTTACAGGCTTTTCTTGGTTTTTTTTATAATGTGGGTTTTAAGTGTCCAGGTTTCGCATGTAAAGGTCATTACTGGTAGAACATATTGATCGAACGTTGACAGTCACTTAGTTTCTGGACACCTTTGGCATATTCTTTAGTGAATAAGACTTTAACACAGTTGGCAAAGTATAAGCGAGTGTCTTAAAATTGTATTTTTATTAATTATACTTAGTAAGTAGCATTAAATGCACAATTAATATAAAATACATAACTCACACAGTTACGATTCGCACCTGTTAAAAAAATAAATATGGAGAGTGGTCCAACGCTATCGATACAGTAATTTCAATAAATGAAAATTAAAGCTAGGACTTTTTTATGTAAAAAGCTGTTCTTCGTTTAGTTCTACACAGTGAACGGTTTTCAAGATATTTGCGTTTAAAGGTTCCGGGTTGCATCGATTTTACCATTAGCGGTTATTAAAATTTCTTTACACTTTATCATTTCACTAATACTTTAAACGCTAATATTCTGAACACCGTTTACTGTTTTGAGCTAAACGAAGAGCATCTTTTTTACGTAAAAAACGTAAAAAAGTTCTAGCTTTTTATATCATTTGTTGAAATTACTGTATTAGGATAAAAGAAGTACCACAAGTGGTATTCT